CCTCTCTCTCTTAAAAAAGTTTAAGAAGACTTGAGCGAATCTATCAATTATAAAGTATTTTGTCTTTAAAGTCTAAAAACTATGAGTTGGCAAGACTGCCATATTAAGCAGCTAATAGCAAAAAACCTGTATCTAGGTAAAATTTACTAAATGTAACAATTTAAAAACATTGGAAAAAATAAGCATACATAGTATAGCTAATACATGCATAGCTGATTCAAACCACAAAAGAAACCTTTTACAAACCCAATATATTCTCCCAATAAAACCAAAAATTCTTATGAACCAAATCCTGTTTTATTAGCACCAGTTAAAGGTCAAGAGAATACAATTTTAATGGTAAACTTCGAGGTAATCTCATGAATCTTCATTTAGTGAGCAGTTGCCATGTGTCTTTCGCTTAAGTCGCACCAAACTCGTTTCATTAGCAATTCCAGCAGACAACTGATCTAATAATAATAAGATAACAACTTTTTTAGACTTTTGAATTTAGAAAAACCATAAATAAATAAACAGATTTAAGTTTATCTAAAATAAGCTTGACTTTAGTTGAAATCAAGTTTTTTATTTATGGTGTTTCTCAGTTAATTGTTATTGTCCACGATTTGTTTGCATTTTGTCTATTCTTTGCTGCTGACCTACCTCACAGCTTATAGCAGCACTTAACCTAGAATGTTGACAAAAAACTGAGTGGAATAGAGTTCAGCTATGGATCTGACTGTGGCTGTGGCTGTGGCTCTGACTGTGGCTTATGTGCCTGCCTGCTGATAAGCCCCATAATGGCTCCATATGCAAGCGCCAAGCGGACAACAAACAGGAATGAAGTTGCTAACGCAGAACTAAAACCGCGCCAACCGACATAAGTTATCAAAAGTAATTATCAAACCAACAGCAAGCAGAACAACAACAAAGCCAACATAACGGCAACAACAACAACAATAGACACAAAGGCAACGTGAGTTCCGAAACAAAGCGCAGTTCACGGCTTTTGTGCGAGTCCCTCTCTCTCTCTGTGTCCGCGAGTGGCAGGGTGTTTGGGGCGTGGTCATGCAACATAAGTAAGTTAGCGTTAATTAAGTCGGGCAACAAATGGCCAAATGGTCCCCAAAAAAGAAGCTTGAAGCTGGAATCTGAAATGTGTAATTTGCATAGGCATTCGTGTGGCTAAAAAGCAAAGCAAGAAATAATGGAAGAGGCTATTAGGAAAGGCTTAAAAGAAGATATATCAAAAGAGAAAGAGCGAGAAAGATATATATTTAAATATATAATAAGAAGGAAGCAAAAGCAAAAGCAAAAGTGTGAGAAACTGAAAGTATTGAAAGACAGATAAATCAATATACACATGCAGAGTGAGCGAGACAGAGATAATAAAACAGCGGCAGAGGGAGATTGCAGAAAGAAGGCAGAGGGAGAGGTAAGAAAAGCAGAAGAAAGAGAGACTGAAAAAGCTGACTGAGAAACAGAAATGACGACAAAATTCAGAGATGGCAGAGAATAGAGGAAAGAGAGGATAGAGAATATAAATAAGATAGATTGAGCTGGAGTTATACAGAGAGAGAGAGAGCGAACGAGAGAGAGCGCTAGAGCTTAGCAAACTAAATGACAATGCAATTATGCGTGCATAAAAGTAAGCATATGCAGATACATTATTATCTAAATATATACTTCCTTACACACTTACCTAAATATAGACTAACTCATACCAACATACAACTTTACTTGCAGAACAGCGGATATTACGGAGCTGAAAGTGTTTCTGGTAGTTCCCAAATAATTTGTGTCATTAATCTGCCGCTCATATTGCGTACATATGTTTGTTAATATGTTCACACGTCGTCGGCACTCGAAGAGATTTATTATTTATTTTATTTTATTGACTTGCTCGTAGGCAAACTTAACTGGGTCAATAAAGTATGCATTTACTGGGCGCTATTATAGATTTATATGCAAACGCATAAATTTCCAGCTCAGTTGACACTTAAATAGCTGTCCGCACACTTGGCAACAGAAGCGGCTGACGATGGCGCTGACAGCACGAACCCATTTCAAGGACAGCGCGCCGTATGCGTAACCCAAGCCGCCAGCTGTGCCGGCCAATGGTTAGCTGTCTGCGACTTGGGACCGCGTGCGTGCCAAAGGAATGCAATAAACTAGGCAGCACATTATGCGCAGACACACATTTGCATATAAAATGGCAGCGATTTTCCCACAGTTCACACTTTTCCCCCGCTTTCGCCCCACTGTAAGAACTTGAAAATGCCCTTCGAGCATTGGTTGGGCTAGTGCGCGGCCTCTCTGACAAATGGAGTGCGCAAATATTTGCCCAAAACATTTCAGCAAAGGATATGAAACATTGTTGTATATATATATAACAGTAACTCGAGTATTAGAGACGTCTTTTGATTTGATATGAACTATTTTTATGTGCATTTTTTTTATTGATTTTTCTTAAGCTTTTCCTATATGTAAACACAAATAGAAAATGCGTAAGTTAAATTGTTGTATATAAAGTAACTAAATAAATTAAGTTAGGTAAATAAATTAAAGCCATAGAAAAGCCCGTAAAGCCCTGACTCTTGCAGTTCCTCTTAGCTACTCCAATATTAAAGCTTTTACATAACATTTATTTACATAAATAAAACAAAGCATTAAAAGCCAAAAAAAAATAAATGTATTTAAAAATAAATAATAAAATAAAATAAAATCAAGTGCTTTTTTAAGATTTACTGAAACTTAAATCCGAATTAAATAAAGCAATATATTTTGCATTTTTTCTGACATTAATGGTTAAATATGAATTTAGCCATGCAGTCGCCATGGCTGAACATTGTTTTTCAATTTTAACAATTTGCAAACGTTGCTTTGGTGTAAATCTATCCATAACTATCCATAAATCTAACCATAAATGTCAAGCCAAAATCAACAAAAAACAGCCATCAGCTTTTAAATAAGTTGTCAAATAGAGCAGTGTTGTCAGCTCAAAGTTATGAAACTCTAAAGAAAACACTCTTTCTATCGAAATCATGTCTATGGCTAAAAGCTTGCCTTATGGGAATTACATTTGACTAGCCCAAAATTAAACTTTAAAACTATGTCCAAGCTCTACACAAATCCAGCTTGTTTAGCTATGGCCAATTAGTTGTGAATAGCAAAAAACTTAAATAGAGTCGAATAAATGAATGGTCAAGGCGGAGTGCTGATCAGAAATGGGCTAAAGCCTCAACTTTGCCCAAGCATAAGTTATTAATATGTATTAATTTTTTATTTGTTTATTGTTAAAATGTCAAATTGCTTTAACCCTGAGCTAAATAAACCAAGAAATAAAAGATGTAAACGAATAAATACAGCAACAATTTGCATAAAAGCAGCGCGAGTCGAGTCGAGTCGAGTCGAGTCGAGCCGAGACAATTTGTCAATGTAACACCGGATTGGACAGCATCCCAGTGAGATGCAGATGCGCCCGAAATATGCAAATTAGCGTGCTAATTTGTGAAGGCAATCTCTAAATAGAGCCATAAATTTAACACAGTGTGCGTTGGCGTGTGCCCGTGTGTGTGTGTGTGTGTGAGACTGGAGGCTAGACACGGCAAGTGTAATCAATCAAAGTTTTGCCCGGCATATTGGCCATCATTGAGCGAACGCAACGTAAAAAATTATAATTAAAAAATTATCAGCAAAATGCGAACAGAAATTTTAATGATGATTATTGCATGAGGATGACGAAGACGATGACGAAGTCGCTGATGTTGTGGGGCGTTGCGTGTACGACAAGTTGATGCGGTCTCTCACCTTGAGAGCTTTATATTGATTTCAACTACAGTAAAACTTGTCTTTTTGGGTTTTTTTATCTGCTGCCTCAAACGAATTCATGCCAGTGCAGCGGCGGCTTAAAACTGAAAAAGAAAAACAAAATGAATTCAAAATAAATATAACAAAAAAAAAAATAAATGCTTAACTCCTCTATTAGTTACATACGAATAGACTCAATAGACCTCAAAAGGCCCACAAAGCCAAAGAAAGAGAAAGAGAACCAGCGAAACGAAAGTGGAACGAACGGATGTGCCACAAACAGTGGTGCGAGCTATGCCCAAACCAGGCAGCAAATGCAATCAGCCCGCTTGGCATACTAAGCAATTTAGTGAGAATATTCTATTTCTATTTCTATTCACGTATTTAACAACATTTTTTTTAATTGCATTTCACTTTTATTACTTTCTAATATATAAAAACATTTACATACGCTTTTAAATAATTTTTCAAAAATATTTAATTTATACACAAACTCATTTGTTGGGCAACTCAATTACCAAACACGGTCCAAAGCTTGCTTAAAATTGAGAAATTTTTGTTTATGTCCAATGCCCAGACTCAGGCAGCTGCTATTTATTTATTTATTATTTTTTATTTTATTTATTTATTTAAAAAAAATAAATATTCAGTCTTCTTCACTTTAAGCCCAAGTTGAAGTCTATCAAAAATAATTTTGTAAGCAATTCTTGAAAATTCTCATAAACAAGATTTGGCATAAATATGTCGCCTAACCAGAACTCGCAGCTATGCGAGCCAGATCAAAATGTAAAGCATCTTTCGCCGTTTCCTGGCAAAAAAAAAAAAAAAATAACAAGAAACTGGTTTGCGTCCACTGTGCGTGGCGAGCACTTAAAAAACTGCATTGCCCGTGTCTTTCCCGCGCCTTAGACTTGTGGAGCTGTTATGGCGTCGCATTTTCAAAAGGGTGCCCCACAGTCCCCACGTAATGCTCCGCTTACTTCCTCGTAAGCGCCCCAGAAAAAAAAGCACATAAAACACATACAATCGAAGCTTTCAATTTGCACAAAAACTTCACATAAATTACATAAGTTGACCAAAAAAAAAAAAAAAAACAACAAAAATGAATAACAAAAGTGAAGCACAACTTGCAGAAGACCAAGAAAAAAACAGTAAGACGTTCAGAGGTCCAGCTCTAAAGGGAGCAGCTGAAACTGGTTCAGTTTTGTTGTTGTTGTTGCTGTTGCTGTTGACCAACTGACCTTGAGCTGGGCTTATGCAATGAAATCTTCTTCAATCTTCTGACAGCTGCTGCTGGGGCACATCTGTACTTCGACAAATTGCAGCCGCTGTCGTCGGCACGAAATTTGAAATACCGACAGCCCCAGATCGCAGCTCAAATGCATAAGCAGCGGCAGCAACAAAAAGTTAAACAACTTGTCCCAGCTCCAAGTGCCCAAAATGAAGAGCTTGCTGCGCCGGCGTCGCTGCCTTGGTATGTGTGTTCAAGTGTGTTATAAAAGCAACTCAAGCTGGCTGCCAACAAGCCATAGTATAAAGTCAACTAGCAGCGTGAAGAGCTCGCGAAGAAATTCAGAAAGAAAATGTTGAAAATCGTGTTTATTGCCAGCCTGCTGGTCAGCGCAGTCCTAGCCGCACCCGTGAGTGAGCCAAACAAAAAGAAAACAAAAAAAAAACAAAAATACGTTAAGCAAGTTATATATTTAAAGTTAATTTTGCTCAAACAATTGTGTGCTTCCGCCAGAGTTAGTTGCGCACGCACTTGGGCCGCTTGGTGCTGCGATCTGTTTCACACTTCTCGAAGCTGCCGCACTTGACATTGCCGCAGTAGCTGCCCGTGGAGCCAGCTGCAAGTAGTAGACCAGTATTGTAGCTGCAGACAGTTTTCTGTTTTTTTGCACTCTACTCACAGTACTTGTCGCCAAAGGGCGACTTGTCGCCGCCCGAGTTGCTAAGCAGATTGGGCGATGCGCAGCTGCGGCCGTTGCACAAATTCGGGCAACACTTGCCGCCAATGGCGCTGCACTCGCTGTCGTGCAGGCACTTGGGTGTGCAGTTGGTCACCTTCGTCGACGAGGGGCAGTCTGCAAGTGGACAAGTGGACAGACAGTGCAAGTTGAGCTTAGTACTGCATTATGGCCGTGACTTACCGCCGGCCGCCAGCGAAACAGCCAGACAGGCGCCAATTACAGCCAGCAGCAGGAGCATAAGACCAGGTTTAGCTACAGTAAAAGAGAGAGAGCGAGAGTTAGAGAGAGTTAAGAGTCTCGAACTATCGATCGACGTGCCCATTTTTCTTGTACTTCAGTTGAACGTCCGCTACGTTGCCCACGTTAACAGCGACTGCCGCCAATTGGGCTTTATACAGCTGCTCAGGCTCAGGCTCAGCCTCAGTCTGTGGCAGTACCGCCTACTACGCGAACCAGTTTGAGTTTGTAGTCGTAATTAATTGCACAAAAAAAAAAACCTGGCAAAAACAATGACTGCAAGATCGATTACTGACACCGCAGCTAAGATACCCTGTGCAAAGAAAAACTTCTAATCAAGCGAAAATTGAGTGCATTTTCTTCAAATTTCCCTGCACTTAGGAGTTAACTAAGCTCCATTGCGCTTGCAGCAAAGGCAACAACAGCTTAAAGACAGTGCAACCAGAAATTTCTATATCAAGACTCCAGCTCTGTCCCTGGCCTATAAGGCCCACTGCGAGGGTATCAAAGTCACAAGTCATTCATTAATTGTAGAGCAATTTAACTACTGCTAGCTGCGACTAGAGACATCCGCAAAGAGCGCTACGCATGCCAAGACAATATTTAATATTTAATATTTAATATTCACCTTAAAAAAAAATAATCAAAAATAATTTGAAATTCAAAAAAATTAAGTCAAATATTTTGTAGGCAATCGAAGCTTGTTTTACATGTAAAACAAATTAATTTATTAATTAATAAACATTAACATAAGTTGCCTCTTGTTGAAGTAACAACAATTTTCAGCTTGAACAAATCAATATAATATTTTGGCAATTTAATTTTTTAAATTATTATAATATATCTGGTCATTAAAATGACAAATTTAATATATAAATTCTTAAAAATCAAGTTTATAAATAATTAATTATTTTAATATATTCTGTTGCCCCGTTTACCTTAGCCACATTTCCACCTCAAAAAAAAAAAAAAAACAAATTTTGTTGTGTGTAGCTCATTTGTTTGCCTTGATGAGCTGATCTGAACTGAACAGCTTCGACATATCTTTAAATTAACATTTCCGCCCCGACATTTGAAAAAAGAAAATTGTGTTTAGCAAGTATACACAACTTGTTGATACCCTGTAAACGTCAAATATATTTTTAGGCGCCTTGAAGCTTGATTGAAATATTTTATTTTATTTTTATTATATTATATATTATAAAATTATTATAAATTGCCCCAAGTCAGCTGCTAGATTTGCATAGTAGACTTAACCTTAATACTCAATGGCAAATGCAGTAAAAGTGTTTATGCAACCTACGAGGTCGGAGGCACCCTCCCTGAGCGGCCTTTTCTTATAGACAATGACTCATAGACTGACAGTCGCATTGACAACTTGAAGTGTTATCAACAACAGCGCAAATTAACGATGCAATAAATGTAGCTAAGCAGGCGGCAGATAGATTGCTCTCCATTCGTAGGAATTGCAATGACTTCATCTGCTAAAGCAACCTAAAACTTTGTTCTTTTGCAGCTGACAGAGGAGGAGGAACTAGCCAGATTAGAGGAGGAGAGAATACAGAACCTATCAGCGAAATATAATTTCGGTGTTTCCGTGTCTGATGACATCAACGATGGCCAATTAGAACGTGAAGAGACTCGAGATGGTACAAAGGTTACAGGTCATTACAGCTACAGCGATGGCTTCGTGAAGCGCATTGTCCATTACGAGGCCGACGAGAACGGCTATCGCGTGACCAAGGAGGAGATGGAAGTTATCGGAGATGGTCCCAAGTTCAATCCTGACGGCCAGGCCGATATCGAGGGCTCCCAGATTGGCCGCTACTCGATCAAACTCGACCGCACAGACAACTCCCAGCATTACAAGGACGCCAAACAGTAATGCTCTGCCATCGACTAGTCGACTAGTATCTTCAGAGCGATCATTTCTAACATTTAGAAATAAACTGATTACAATGTGAATGAATTATTGTATTAAAAGTCAAGTTAATCAAAAGAAAAACGAATTTCCTTCCAAGACTTCGACCTAGTCAAGCACAAGTGCAGCAGATGGACTTTGCCTATTTGTGATCTTTATTCTCAGTTAAATTCTAAATACGTTTCTGATTTCAGCTAGATTTCGTGAGCTGCTGATTCTATAGTCAGTTCTGCTTGGCGTCACGACGAATGCCATTCAAATTGATATCCACTAAAATGACCTCGAAGTATCTGTGCGTATCGTCCAGTGTCACCCAGTGCGAGTTGAGCATGCGCAAGTCACCCAGTCTGCGGCCGATGCGCTCCTCAATGATGGCCTGCAGCCGCAGATAGGGATTCAGATCCTTGACATTGTGACTTTTCGACTTTCCATTTGGGCTCGCCTTCGCCAGCGGCCGCTTGCGACCTTCGCACCGAATTTGAATCCTATAGACGACAGTTCCCAGGCGACGCGACTTCTCCGAACGAGCCGGTCCGCAGGAACGCTGTATTTTGAGCATGTGACGACAGTGCCACACACGGATCCGTATAAAGTAGCGCATAGCTCGGCCTCCACCTAAAGAGTCGAATACCAAAGGAACCGAATGTACACGAGTTTTTCAGGATATTATTTCTATTATTTTTAGCTGGCTTCAACTAACGTTTGACAGACGTTCACATGCGACTGAAATGCCAGCGAGAGCTGCAAATGAATTCAGGCCGATCTCACAGCCTTCTTTGATGCTACGTGACAAATAGAACATCTGATTAATAGTCGGAGCTTTAGTCAAGCCATCCAGATAGCAAATAGCATTCAAGCATGCTCAGCTCTGCGGCAGATGGCCTGCCTAGCAGAGACCCTACCCCTAGGACAAACGTTCCGACTTTAAGGCTACGTTTTATTTCAATATAAAGCATTTTGGGCTCATCAAGCGTTTAAGGAGATATTTATATCGCAGAGTTAATACATTCATAGCACATTGGATAGTTTCGTTTACTCAAGATCCTCCTGCACGCACTCCATCGAGTTGTTCGCCGACTGCGTGATGATCAGCGCCTTTTCCGAATCGGTTAGATTTATAAATTGATGCTTTGACTTGAGCTCCTGCTGAATGGATGAGAGTAGATCGGGCGAGCCGCGGCCCGGCTTCAGTGTTAGGCTATCCCGATTGATGTTGCCCGACTGCTGAACGTGCTCAGCGCCCCCAGCCACATCCAGAGTTGGCTCCACGATCGTCTCCATCTGCAGCGACTGGCGCTTGCGACGCACGCGCTTCGAGCCACGCGTAATGAGCACGACGGCAGGCGATTCGTAGGGCATAGCCTGGATGACCGTTTGCAGCAGCTTGGGCGGCGTCTCGGGTGTCTTGGGATTGCCAATGACGACGTCAGCCTGCAGAGCGCTGCGGGCGCGCTCGCGCTCCTCCTCCTCGCGTTCGCGCGCTGCATTTTTGCGCATCAGCTGGCGAGCGCGCTTCTTGAGAATGGCCTGGGCATTGGGATAGTAGGCGATGACCTCGTTAAGGTCCGACTTGGACAATACGAACAGATTGGAGTAGCCCTTGGAGCGAACATCGGCTGTGCGCCGATCGGCGCCATTGATGCCCAGCAAACTGATTTCTCCGAAGACGGAGCCCTCGGTGAGCGTGGCCAGGACGACGTCGCTGCTGGGGCCGCCCATCACCTGCACTTGGCCCAGCTTGACAATGTACATCTCCCGACCCACCTCGCCCTTGCGGCACACAAAGTCGCCGGGCAGAAAGGTAACGGCGCGCAGCTTGAGCACCAAATCCCTAAGCAGCGCCTCCTCACAGTCGGCGAACAGCTGCACCTTGGACAGAGTCTGTATGTGCACCGAGATGGCGATGTCCGTCTTCAGATTGATGGGCAGCGCGTCCAAAATGTTCGACTCATCTGGATACAAATGGGAACAATTAGAGCTCGCCTGTTGAGCCACTCTGATCTTTGATCTTACCCAACGTGCGCTGCTGTTCCCAGGTGAATTGGAACCACATTTTGACACGTGACTGCACCTCCTTGGAGAGATTCAGGCGCCTCATATACTCCAGCGTCTCATCCTCCAGCTGGCGATACTCGTGCCTATTGCGCGTGGCCGTCGAAATGATGTCCCTGATCTGGCCGATGAGCAGGGCGAAGACAAAGACGCCCATTAGCCAGGCGACCGTCATGAAGACATATTCGCCCTGGCGTTCCGGCTTCGGATTCTTGCCAATCGACGTCGCCGTCTTGGTGGCAAAGGCAAAGCATCTCACATACGGATGACCCTTGCCGCTGAAAACCCAGCGATTCTGGCCCAGGCCCTGGTAGTCGCTGTAAGCATAGTACAGCGCGGCCGTAATATGGATCATGTAGAGCATATAGGTTAGCGTCTTGGCGACACGAACGAAGTGTGGCGAGGAGATGACGCGATCCAGGAGTCGAAACACCTCCCAAAAGCTTTGAATCTTGAAGAAGCGCGGAAAACGCAGCCAAACTGCGCCAGTGCCGTACTTCAGATAGAACAGCTCCAGGGGCAGCAGGGCGAGCAGATCCAACTGCGGAGTTAAGCGAGATGGGGGCAAAGGTTTCATTTTAAGTCGGGCTAGATGCTTACCTTAAATTGCAGCTTTCGCATGTAGTTCTTGCGCGTCAGGTTCTTGTTCTTGACCCAAAAGCCCTCGAAGAGATACATGACGCGATGCTTGAAGAAGACCACGTCCAGCAGATAGATGATATCGGCACAGAAATCGCAGGCGAGCCAAATGTTTGTGTTCGCCTTGGTCTGGAAGGGGAACGAGGCACGCAGCGGAATGACCCAGGCATTGTAGAGGAACGAGAGCGACACCACGCACAGCCACGAGATGTAGATCTTGCCCTGCGGATCCAGCGTGCGCTCATCGTTGTTGGCGCCGCACAGGCTCGAGCAGAGCCAGACATTGGAGCGCGGCGTGTCCGCCTCGAAGAGGCGGCCGCGATGCGGCGATTGACCCGCTGGCACCAGACGCACCTTGTGCTCCGGCGATGGATGCAGGCTCTTGGTGCTGGCATGCAGCGCCGCCTGCCCCGGCGGCGGTGTCGGTGAGCTGGCGCTGCTCGACGAGGGCGTCGGCGGCAGCTCGATGCGGGACTTCACCTTGTTGGCGCGCGCCGTGAAGCGGCGCACCAAATGCCGCACTTGATCGCGCAGGAATTGCTGGCCCTGCGAGTCCAGGCTGCCAGCGCTGCTGGGCCGATGCTGCTCCTCGACGACGGCCACAATTTCGCTCTCGTTGAGCGAGGAGGAGCACGTGGTGCGCAGGTTGCGATCGTTGTTCTGCTGCTCCGGCGACTCATTGTAACAGATCTGCACGTCCTGTTCGTCTTCGTCCTCCATGGGCTGCGAGCACTGATCTGGCTCCGCCTGCTGCTCGAGCAGCACTTGCCCGGTGGCGCTGCGCAGCTCGGCCGCACGCTGAGCGGCCACCGGATCCGGCTCTTCGACGGCGCCCGGCAGCGGCGTTAGCTCCACGTACTGCGGCTGCAGCACTCGACGCACGCTGTCCGGACTGACCAAGGGCTTCTCGTGCTTCAGTATGTGCTTGACCAGCGCATGGGTGCTCTCGATGTTGTTCACCTGACCCGAGCGCTCCGCATCCACGCAGCCGATGCGTCCATTGCGGAAGTACAAGCGCGACTGGTAGAAGCGCGGACTGTGGGGTCGCTGCCGGCGCTGCGGCGCCTTGTAGGCATTGATCTTGAAGCAGATGCGCTTGGCCGGACTGGGCGTCTTGTTCTCCTTGTCGCGCTTGCGCTGCTGCTGGCTGTTGGCCGACTCCTGCTCCTTTTCGCGCTGCATTAGCTGCTCCGTGGCGCTGACGAATTGCTCAATCTCCCTGATGTCCTTGGAGATCTCCTCGAGGCTGCGTCGCACGTTCGCCTCCTTCTCGCCAGGCGTCGAGTAGCGACGCTGTGGCTCCGGTCGCGTATTAATCACATTCCGCATGAACGCATGCCGCTCCAGCGTCTCGCAGAAACGCGGCGACGGCGGCCGCTGCACCTGGCCCGGCAAAGTGGCCATGCGCTTCAGTTGCTTGTGTGCCTGGGCCTGGAACTCGTCGTATTCAAAGTTCTCCAAGATGTTGGGCGATGACTTCAACAGCGCTGCACTGGCCTCCGTGTCGAGCTGTGCGCTGCGCTGATTCAACTGCGAATAAAGCAAACTTGAGTGGCGCGCACTGACAGCTAGGCAAACCACCTTGGCGTCGGACAACACGCAAATTCAATAAAAGCCAAAACGAAAATAAAAATGAAAACAAAAAAACAGCTAGCAAACAAAGTACGTCTGTGCCTTGCATGCTAATTGCCCCGGGACGCCCGCACAATTCCGTTGAATCGATTTAATTGAGCTGCGCCGAACGGCTATGGGCCATTGGGTAAAAGCGATTGAAGTAGCTTCATTTCTTTGCTCAGCGAAGGACGTTCAATCAACTCCGTTTACAACTAGCTAAGCAACTAGATATAGTACTTAATTAAGTACACTAAACTATGGGCTTTGCTAGAGCAGCAGTCGAGCAATCGAAGCTGTCAACGCATGTTTCAAGGCCTACTGCAAGCAAGGCAGGAAAGGTCTGGATTCGGACACAGTCGCCGACTTATGTCTGAGAAGATGACCGTCCATCGCTTCATGCAGCAACTGTATAAAAAGAAGCTAAGCAATAGCGCCTCTTGAACAAGCTGAACAGCGTGAGTCCCGGCCCAGCCAAACGACCAAAGCACGTCGCTTGGCTGTCCGATGCCCAAGGACTGCAGCTGTGGCCAGCCAAAGGCTTAGGCTGTCAATGAGCTGAGCCCCTAATGCGGCCTGCAGGCCATTGGACCTAGACTAGGAGCTCTGCCTGTGCACAACTCCCACATGAATTCATTTTAAAGGAATTCCATTGCATTGGTAAGGCCTACAGGAAGTCGCAGGAATTGCGAGCATTTGCAGAGGAAACGTGGATTACAAAAGGAAGTTTAGCAAAAAAAAAAATATATTTGAATGGGTGCTAGACCCATGCTCCTACCTTGCGAGTGCGACCTTTGCTGGCCATTTTGTTGCTTTTGTTGTGCCGTGCAAGTTCACTGCCAGTTCAAAGTTCAGGGTCGTCGCGCTTAGTTCGCCATTCTGTGCTGTAATTAAAGGTAGAGTTCGTTGCGTGGCACACGCGGCGTATGATTAATGCGAAATGCTATTACTTCGTGTCCAATTACTCTTATCAGCCGCCTATCACTGGCATATGTTTCATAGATTATTGATTTTTCCCAGAGTTGCAGTTTGGGACGCGAACAAAGCGTAGCTGAGCAGCTCAACAGGTGTGTGTTTTGTTAGTATTTATTTAAATATTTGAAATTCAGTTTTAACTGCTTTTTCAGACTACTTCAATAATTTATGAAACTATTTTCAAGACTTTCTTAACTTTTGTGCACTTTGGAAATGCATTTCAGTTGCATTGAAAAACTACGCAGGCAACTAGTTGGCAACTCACCTCCTTTGCTAAGTGTTGATAATAAACTAGACAGCAGCAGCAGCAGCTGACTTGGTCTTGTCTTTCTGGCTCTAAGGATCGCGCATGCGCAAATACCGTGGTGTTAAATATGTTTGCAAATCGAACTAGGAAAACTCATTAAACTTAAATTAACGTATTTTATTTAGATTTACTGACTGCAAGTAAAAAGTATTTATCTATATTCAAATCTGCTATAGAAGGTTTATCTGCACGCCATTTGCAGTTGGCTAACATAGTGTAAAGCAGATTTAAATGATAACCGACTGTTAACAGCGATGATAACAGAAACGTTTAATGTTAATGTTAAGTGAAAGCTTGCGCTCGACGAGCTTTAAGTTGACAAACTTTGCATGGGTTTTATCACTGAATTAAATGATATAGTATTTCTAACATAGTTAATTAAATTAATAATATAATATGTAATATATTAAATATAAATAATATACACATTAAAAAATTAAATAAAAAATGATATTTAAGAAAATGAAATTAAAATAATGTTATAAATATAAAAAATAATATACTCAAAAAAAAAATTAAATTAATAAAAATTTAAGAAAAAAAATAAATTAAAATTATGTTATATAAAAAATATGATAAATATTTTTAAAAAAAATTAAATATAATATACAATATAATAATAATATATTTCTCATTATAAAACACTTATGTATATATTATATATAAGAAAATAGCTAGCAAATTCAATGTAACTAAAAATATTTATAAGAAATTTAAAAGAACAAATTAACTATAAAAAATAAAAATAATAATAATAATAATAATAATAAAAATAATAATAATAATATAAATAATAATAATAATAATTTATACAATTTAAAATTTGTTTTTTAATTAATAAAATTAGTTTAAATTGAATTTAATAAAACGCAATAAAAACGTAAAGACAAAAAGCACAAAAACATATTTTAAAAAATATATAAATAAATATGGTTAAAAATATATACATACAGCTTTAATATTACTTTTTATTTATTATTCATTATTAATTTATTTACAATTAAAATGCAATAAAGTCTAACTGTGTAAAAGCTATAAGTTATCAAGCTTAAATAACTTAAAAATTTGAATAATTATTTTCAATTATTATTATAAAAAAAAAAACAATTAAAATAATAAATGCATGTCAAAATATATAAAATATAAAATATGACCTAAAAGGCAAAGTAAAATAAAAGAACAAATATTAATAATATAAATATACAAAGAAATTTTGATGTTGTGATCTATTAGTAGTGATCTAATCGAATAAAAAAATATGAATTTATTAACAAAAAATTGCAATTCAAATTAAAAATAAAATAAAAAAAAATTTAAATAGCAATTACAAATAAAATTTAAAATTATTATTTATTAATTGGTAATCATTGAAACGCACTATTAAAGTTTTTAAATATTTTTTATTTATATATTTTTAAATAATATTCCGTTCAGCTCTACATTTACAATTACATATTTGTTGGTTTTGTTTTGTTGTTTTTTTTTTTTTTTTATCTTTTAAATTACATATATATACTTATGTATATATTAAAATGTATATATAACTTGTTGGATTGTGGTTTTTAAACTTGTATTAATTGTATGTAATTAAAGTGAGAACGTCTGCTAAAAGGACGAATAAGAAAACCGTTGGACGCAAACAGCGGCGAACCGACGATTCTTTGGAGTCTGCGCATCGAACTATGATTTTACCCAACGTTTCTCCTACAAAACTGTGGAACGCTATGCATAAACATTTACATTAGATGTCATGAAACAAAAAAAAAAATAAAAAATAATAAGTCAGAAAGATAAACCTCAAATTACAGATGCTGCGATGCGTGACCGGGCGGAGGAACGCAGCGCGCTCCACCCGGCGTATGAGGAATTTGAGAAACGCATTACAATGAAATAGTAGTTGTAGATGCATACATACATACATACATACATACATGCGTACAAACCTATAAAGAAACAGTTGCTAGTTTTTTGTTTTGTTTTTTATGTTTTTTTTTTTGTTTTTGTTTTTCTTTTTTTGTTTGTGTTTGACTGAAAATTATGTTTTAACTTATATTATGGTTCTTGGTGTGGTTGTTTGTTTGTTTTAAGTGCATATTTAAAGTTTTAAGGTTTTGTTTTTTTGTTTGTTTTGTTTTGTTTGTTTTTTTTTTGTTTTTGTTTTTTTTTCTTAATTGTTTTTCATTTGTTTTATGTCACTTAAAAAATTACATTAGTAAAATGTATTTTAAAACTGATGCGAACGCTGCCAGAGCATCTACTCGCTCTCGTCCTCTTCATCCTCCTCGGAGGACTCTTTCTTCTTGGCCTTCTTGGCGGGCTTCGCGGCCACCTTCTTTCGCTTCTTGGGCGCGCCGGAGTCGGTGCCGCCGTTTGCCTCGTACTCCTTTACCGCCTTATTGTAGTCCTCCTTCATTTTGATGGCTTTCTGTTCCCATTCCTAGTTAATTAGAGAAACAAATCAAGTTGAAGTATATCTGCAGGATAGGCTAGGCTAGGCTAGCATTTGGAGCGTTGCTTACAGTTTTGTCTTTCAAGCCGCGCCACAGCTCACCGCCGCGCTTGGCAATATCTGTGACCTTGCTGCCGGGATTTTCCTTTTTGATCTGTTCGCGGTTCTCGTTCAGCCACAGCATGTACGCTGATAATGGACGCTTCGGGCGCTCGCCGCTCATGTTTGCTCTGGATTTTGTGGATTTGTTGACGCTGGCTCAATCAAAATACCTAATTTGCCGCTCCCTCAGAGTACTCTGTAAATAGACGAAAGCAAATGCTTAGCCAAATAGTCGAGATGAGTCTGTGCCCTACTAATTTCCTTTTGACACTAAACTCAAACGTGTATCAGGCGAGCTGCAAAACTGCTTTGTTATGTAACGAAATTATGTGGAGCTTATATTTTATTGAATATGCATTTCGAAAAGCCCCTTTTCATGGACTTTATCATAATTTATAGCACAATTCCCGCTCCATTCAAGTGCAGCTCAAATATACAATAATTTCATATTTTCACATACGCCAATGTTCATCAAATATTCGTGATGGCAACTGTACACAGCTCACACAACCACCCACGCACACATAGGCAGCAAGCATATGCCTGCTGCAGCCTTTTTTATATGCACATAGGCTCAATTATTATGTACATGTACTTGTTTATATATGTTGTACATAATTTACTCAATTATTTCGTGTGTGTGTGTGTGTGGCCGATTGGCATTCACTTTTGGATGGCCCTGGACCGGAGCACATATACCACACCTGTAAATATGTAAAATCAGGGCAATGCACTTTTAAATAGCTGTCCAGTAAATGCACAACGATGCACAGGTGTAGATATATAAATATATATATATATATATATTGTCATGCAAGTCGGCTCAAACGTAGCTATTTGTGCTTAAGTTATAAGCGTCCTGCTTATATACAAAAAGCCTAAGCAAGGCATACATTATGCAAATGTTGTTTGCAACACTACCAACATCATCATCATCATCATCATCATCATCATCATCAGACAATCGCCTCCATGCACTTGACCCAAATACTGAGAAATACTGACAAATAACGCAACGCGCACGAGACAGCGACAACAACCAGCATGATGACGATGAGAGACGACAGCGCTGAGGCTGCTGATGCTGATGCTGACGAGCTGCTACACAACAATTGGGTTAACAAACCACAGAGCTGAGCACAGCAGAGCAACAATAAATCAACGACAAGCGCTGGCAGCAGGGACTGAGCGGGCAGGTGGCAGAGCTGCAGTCATATCAATCACAAAGACAAATCCAGGCAGTGGTCAGCTAGCAACTACTGCGTATATTAGCCAACAATGCCACATGAGCTGTGTGTGTGTGTGTGTGTGCGTCTGGACTCTGGCTGCTGCAGCAGCCACCGGGAAATGGCGGCAAAATTGTTGTTAGTTTCACGCGCGCAACTGTTACGCCCGCAGAGTTGTGCCCCTGGCTGCATGGCGCCCACACAAGCACACACGCAATGAAGCTGTCAATGTCGCCACACGAGGCGGCAACACGTGATGCACAAAGCAGCAGCTGCGATGCGTTGCCAACACCAAAAGGATTCCTTCCACATGTCGCACAGACGAACGCATTTATATATGTATGCATATGATGATGTGTAGCCAGCTACAAAATCGAAAGCGAAACACATTCTGTCTGGCGTGTGCGTGCCGAAGCTGTTGCCAATTGATAGCTGCAGATGTAGGTGACTAGGCAGTGTTATTTATGTCCTAGACGCGAGACTTTAAAGATGTTTTCAGCGGCGCCCAAAGGTATGCTATGTACAATACTTCCAGCATATACTAATGCCAAGCGAATCGTAAACTACCCGTAGAATGCAAATTTATAGCTTTATAAACAGTTATTTTGCTTAAAATAAGATAAAGCTTTGCTGTGTTGGAAATATTCCAGTAGATGCACAGAAAAGCAAAAGTGAAAAATTTTATAGCATACTTATGAGGGCAGCCAAAGGCGCGAGCAGCAGTTGCGCTAGCTGTTAGCTATCTGTTTGATATTACTATATTATATTATGCACACATATATTTTGTGTAACTCATAACACATATATACACAAAGATGCACTAATTGCCCCTTTGAAGCTGGCAAATCTTTATATTTTCACATGTTCGATTGCTAATTAATATTTAAGCTCAGCAATAGGCAGGAATGCTGTCATTAGTCAGAATGGTATGCTGCTGATTATTTTCAACTCGAAAGGTATCAAAAATTGTGTACGTTACGCATACGCAGCGTGGCACAACTTCCCACACAGGCATGCATTATAGATAACTAGCTGGGGACAAGGGACGAGATTGAAATGAAAGGAAAGGACAACAAATGATATTAAATGGCATACCAAATGAGGCAGGGCCGACATTTTAGCGTTGATCTAAAATTGAAAAGCACAAAACGCCAAAGCTGACGCCAGCGCAGCGTCGCTGCCGGCGTCGCCGTCAACGTCAAATGAATGAAATGTGAAATTGCTGAAAAGGAATACACAGAGCACACGTATACAAATACAAATGCAAATATACACAGGCATAAAATTACGGCTGCCACTGCGGCGGCTTCTGCTTATCTCTCCCCATATGCCTATGTGTGTGTGTGTGTGTTTATGGCATTTTTAATGCCGACAACGCAGCAGCTGACGTCGACTGCGCTGCTGCTGCTGCTGGAACGCTCAGTGGTTGTTGCCTGCACAGCAGTGTAACCACCCGAGCCACCCGAACCACCCAACAACAACGAACTCAAACTGTAAAATTGTTGCCTGAATGCGACTTTCAGCTCGAGCTAGTGCGCAGTGACAGCATTTTAGGGTAGATACTTTTACAGGGATTTGCGCAGTGGATGTCGACAGGGCAAACAGCCGTTATATGTGGCAATATATGTATGTATGTATGCATATTTGTATATATATATATATATTATATATATATATAAATAAATGTGTGTGTGTGTGACTGACGTTTACCGTTAGAGCGCGTACAGTCGTGACTTTTTATAGTCACGCCACAAAGTATTGCCAACTGCAAACTACTCAACTTTTTCGAGCAGTGTAGCTGACATTTGCTGCACAGTCGTGGCCTGAATTATGAGCACGCTAAATATATTTAACTTTTTACAAGTTAGTGGCATATTAATTATTATAAAAATAAACAAAAGCCGCTCAAAATATTGTCAATTTTCTGACGTTGCCTTTTTTTGTGTTTGATTGTTTTTCTTTTGTTGTTTATTTTTTCTATATTTTTTTATCAAAACAAAATAAATTGTGCACTCATTTGAGCATTGGCCTCAACGATTAGCTAACGAACGAGAGAGGCAGGGAGAGAGAGAAAGAGAGCGCGCGCAAAGAGCTTTGCCCAAACAACAAGTACATTAACTCACACGCACACACACACGCACACATTAAGCACTTGATCAGCAAATAACAAGCGACAACAACAATAGCAAGGCCAGCGAGCTTTTGGCTTTTGTGAAAACAAACAAAAAGGAACTCGAAAACAGATCTTTGATGAGCCGTGTGGCAATTCGTCGGCGATTCATTATCGCATCGACCGCCCACGAGGCGCAAAGTTCGCGTTGAGCAAGTGAAAATGGCGCGAAAAAGCTTTTGCACAACTGTAAATGCGGCACGCTGTCAGTTGAACTGTACCTCTCTCGCCACACACACACACACTCTCTCTCTCACTCTTTGTGCAGGTAGTGTGTCAAACTTTTGGCGCCATTTTTAGTTGGCGTTCGAGTGTTCGCGATACGAGTGCATAAGCAAATCGCGCGCGAAATGCAAAAAGCATAAAAATACAATACAAAATAAACAATGCGGAAATTGAGCTAAGAACAAAATCAGCTAAAAATATCTAAAAAGTCAAACCAGCGAAAGACTTAAGTTTGGATTGGAAGTGAGAAGTCGAAGAAAACAAAAATGTTTCTAAAACATTGATAATCTATAAATATTTTGCATAAAATATAAATAAACATTAGTTTATTTAGCAGCGCAAATAAAAACAATTTTGTTTGTTGTTTCCAGTTTCAAATACGTCAAACTTAGTTCAATCAATTATCTTTTATATTGTTATTGTTTTTTTTTTTTGCATATCTGTTGGCAAAATATTATTATTTGTCTTTCAGCTGTGCACAGATCGGCACTCAAACTTAGCTTTGAGCTTAATGGGCCAAAAGCTTTTATAATGATAAGAAACGCTTATGATTTGATTTGGTAATCTTGCAAAGGTTTTCAAGCAACGATTTCTGAGTGAGTTCGCACTTTCTGAATGGCTAATCACATTTCACGGTCAGAGAGTTGAGACTTCATCAAGAGCAGGCGAATGCATTCCGCTGGGCAATTTTGTGCACGCAGCTGCAAAATGCAATTCAAGCAAAATAAATATGAGAAAATTGCACTGGCAACAGGGAATGGGCTTGGGCATGGGCATGGGCATGGGCATGGTCATGGGAAACGTGACCAACGGCAGCCGGCAAGACTTGGCGACAATTGCATTGCCATGTGATAAGCCAGAAGACGCAACGCAAGGAAATGTTTAAGACAATTGCGGCCAGCAGCAGAACACACACGCACACAATGCACTGAAGGATTAGGCGTGCCTGAGGGATCGCCACTTAGGCTCAAAAGCGTCGACAGGTGGGTGGCTGGCAGCCGCAAAAGTCCGGATCGGACTTGGAACAATCACTGAAATCGAAAACGAAATGCAAAGCTGACTTGTTCCATACTGAAGCCATTCGATGCGATTACAGTGGCGGCAAATGATATTGAACAAACATTGACAACATTAAATATTAAAAAAACATTTTTTAATTGTTGCTAATTGTTGTAAAATATAAATAGATTTAAGAAACTTTTTAAAATATTTATTTTATAATAAATATTTTATTTAAATATTTATATTTTAAATTACATATTTATATAAAAAAATAAATATAAATAAAATTCCTATTATTTTATTATATAAAATTTAGTAGATAATCTAAAATATTTTACTAACATTTTGTTTATTACACCAAATAAATAATCAAATCAATAATCACATTTCGAATCCCATGTCGCCTGCTCAGCATTTAATCAATTTAATTGATGATAACAATGAGCAATCAGTCGAGAAAACTAAACTGGAACAGTAGACACAGGCTGTCCAACTAATTTGACGCCCACTGTAAATGGACGCCCCGTGGGCCTAACACTAAACGCCAGTGTAAAAATTATTACCCACAGACGACTAATGAAAAATACTCTTATTTCTGATATGTACGTACTTTGCTCTGGCTGCCGCTGTTGTTGCTGTGTGTTTACACTTCACTCTTGGCCCGGCTCGGACTAGAAATTTGCTTCGCACTGGCGCTGGCACTGGCACTGAACAACACTCTGAACGCTGAACAAAATGTACTGCGAGTGTCTATAGAAAACTGAACTGAACTGAAATTCAACTGAAGCAGCTGTACCAGCAAAGGCAAAGCAAAGGCAAAGCAAAGCAAGGCAGGGCAGAGCGAGGCGAGGCGGTGCGAGACGAGGCGAAGCGAAGCAACGCAGGCAGGCAGCAGCAGCAGCAGAACAGAAGCAGAGGCGAAACATACACACGCAGAGGCGAACCGAACGAACGAGTGAACAGCGAGACCATCAAATAATACACAGAGCCAGAGCCGCAGTGAGCGCAGTACAGGCAGGCGGCAGCAAAAGTATCTGTATCTGAGAGCCAGCCAGGCCAGGCCAGCCAACCAACCAACATAGAGCGTTGACGACGACAGCGACAGCGACGGCGACGACGACGACAACGACGACGGCAGAGGGCGGGCAACGAGCGGAGCGAACTCAGGCAGACGACGGGCCACTGTATGTAGTGGCCGACAGTGGTGGCAAATTACGTGCGCACAGCTGCCGCCTGCTGAGTGCGTGCATGTGAGAAAAATAATTTGCGTTTTTGCGGTGGCCGCAACAGTAGTGTACCATCCAATTGGACAGGCTGCGCCATGGAATTTGTACAGCGCATGCACAGTACTGTCGCTGAATATTGGAAGGGTAGTGGAAATAAATAAACAGTCAATATCCAATGAACTATCAATGGGCGTGTATGAAACAATAATTTTTGCATATTAAATTATATAAAAAAAATTAATTTGAAAATATTTCATATTGCAAATATAATTTTAATAAGTAACTCTAATTTTTTAATTTTTTTAATTAATTTTAATTTTTTTTTAATTTATTAAAAAATTTTATTAATTTCATATTAATTTAATTATTTGAAAATGATAAAATATTATTTTTGTTATTTATGTTTCATTTTATGTTCATGCCCCACGCCACTGTAGCGCCTCACACTACTGAGCCCTTGTTTTACTCGTAGGCACGCGCATGTTCGACTATTTTTGATGTGACTGTACGCTCTGGCTGCTTATTGCTTCAGCCATATAAAAAGCGTGGAGCGAACAAGCTTTGTGCGAACGAAATGCCAGTAGCATTTTGCCGCGGCAGCAGCGGCGCCGCTGCCACTCGCCTACCTCTTCACCACACCACAGCACCCCTCCCCCACTTCAGCGCCCCAACAGCCCCCGCCTTCATTACCCCTCGGCTTTCCATGCTATCCGCCGTCATGTCACTACGTTAGTCGTCGTCGTCGTCGTCGTCACATATAACCAAATATGCCGCCCACCTGCCCCCCCGACTAACCCCCGCGGCCGTCGCTCACGCGCTCAAATCTACAACAAATGCCTGCCATCAGATACCCCAAAACCCCCCTCGGCGCCCGCACTACAAACTCAACCTCAAAAGACAATAACAAATAAGTATTTACAACATTTTACAACACTGGACTAATTTTGTTAATTTAGAAGAAGCTAATCACAATTAATGAACTAAGATCGGTATTTGCATTAATTGTAATTTTTATTTGTAATGCAAACCTACTTGGCCATTAAGCAGGTGAGATGCAGCTGCGGAGCATTTTCAAAAAATAACCGTCAATATTATGAGCGCGCGCATTCGAAATTTAAATTCAATACCAACAACAATACAGGGCAGAAGAACAGCTACGACGCCGACGACGACGGCGACGACGACGACGATGATGACAACGTCGACTATAACGGAACGGAATCAAGGGAATTCTGGGACAAGATGTAGCTCTGGGTCTTTGGCTTTTTGGCATTAACAGGCCAGTCCCGACCAGGCCAGGCCAGGCCATGCCATGCCAGGCCGGGGCCACCTTTTGCGCTTGTGATAGCGCACACACGGCAGAAAAATTGGGTCGTTTAGTTTTATTTTGCAAAATTTATATAATAAATGGCCGCATCGGCGACGCATTTTGGTCAATTCGTGTAGCAAATACAATGGGAAATCAATCATAGTGAGACACTTTTCACTCACCCGTATGAAAATGTCGCCAAATTTGCGTTTTAATTGCAGGCCTCGTCGATATATCGACTCGTGGTTATATTTTGTGCACTGGCGTTTTGCTGTTGTTTGTTCACTTTATAAATTTTCTTCTACTAAAAACTCAAGTCAGTTGTGTGCTGTGCTGTGCTGTGCTCTCAGTTGCTGTATCGGTCTCGGTTTGTTCAGCAGCGTAGTACGTACGTACAGCTTTTGCCTTCAGTGGAATATCAAATACACAGAATGAATGCCAGGCAGCCAGCCAGTCAGCCAGCCAGCAAGCAAGCAAGCCAGAGGCAGAGACCAAGCACCAAGCACCAGTACGAGTACGACGCAAACGCAGGCAGTGAAAATGTAGCTGTATCTGTATATTTTGTATGCGTGTCTCTCTGTGTGTGTGGCCCACTATGTATGTGTGAGTGTGCGTGTGTCTCTGCCTGCCTGCCTGCCTCTGTTTGTGTTTGTGTGTGTGTGTTTCGTTCATTCGCTCGCTCGGTACGTTTCGTTGGTTTGTTCGCTCTAGTACTATGTGCGCAAAGCAGAGGCAACGGCTACACACAGTACAGCTCACACACACAGAGAGCTACTGATACAGATACACGTGTACGTGTGCGTGTACGTGTGTATCTGGCCTGGCCCCGCTTTCAATGTATGCGTTGCTGAACAAAAATTTCGTTCGTTATATGAACACACGGCAGCCGCAGCAGCAACAGCGGCAGCAGCAGCAGCGACAGCAGCAGCAGCACAGCCACAGCAGTTGGATGACCGAGGGGCATATGTTGAGTTGAGCGGGGCGGCAAAGGGGGGCAACTCAACAGCAACCGGCAATGGCAACAGCATTGAATATGGCCGCCTGCCTGCCGATTGTAGCTGTGGCTGGTTTGCTCTGGCTTGCCCTGCGCCAAACGGTTTACTCCACAATCCCAACTAGTTGACTAGGAATTTTGGATGGTAGCCACCCATGGAAATGGGTTCAATGAAAAGTCTGATTTGTGATTGTATATTGATTTTTTTCTAAACTTAAAAATAATAATATAATTGGAGGAAATTTAATAAATAAGTGATGTGATTGATGAGATTTAGATGAAAACTTTAAGAATTTAAAATACACTTTTTTAATTTTTTATTATAAAATAGATATAGTAATATTTATAGCATTATAATATAGCGTTGACTAAATAATATTTATGCATTTTAGTAAATAATATAATGTAATAATTAGCAAAAAAAACTTTAAGATCTTTTTTAGTTGAATGAATATAATTTAGATGAATATAAAAGTTGAGCAATTATATTAAAAATAATATATACATATGTATTTATACAGGAAAAAAATTCCTAAGAATATTTTTTTTTACATATGAAATCATCAGTAAAAAATTTAGTTTTTCCTAAAAATTTTTTGTGAACAAAATTTAACTTAAGACTTTTTATATTTAAAAACTTTTAAGCAAAATTATTTTTTTTATACAAAACAAAATTTAAATTTTCAAATAAATACAATTTTTACATAGAAATATTTAAATATTTAATTTAAAAAAAAAATACTTTTAAAAATATATTTTATATACTGCATTAATAAAGTAAAAAATAGTATTTAACTTTTTCTAAAGTATTAAAATCTATATTAGGTTATATATTATATTATATATTTAGATATTTTATTTTATATACATATATATATATATATAATTTTTATGCTTTAAAAATCATTTGAAAGCAACAAAAAATAATCGATTATTAAATATATTTCAATATAAATAAAATATAGAACTTCGTAGCTCTGTTCTATACTCCATAGTTCCTCTAACTGAATAAAAAGACTTCCAACTTGTAGATAGGCATTAAATTGAAAAAAAAGCTAAAAAAATAGTTAACTATTATTAATTATTTTCACATTTGCTTTAGAATATTAAATCATGATTTAGTTACATATAACTAAAATATATATAAACTCGAATAATATTTTGATTATTTAAAAGATAAAAAAATTAAATTTTTTTTATGAAAAATTCATAAGAAATTTCTATTTAAAACTCAATTCTAATCGAAAAGAACGATTTTATCAATCAATTAGCAATATCATAAATTGCATATGAATGCCATTAAAGCTGGTCGAGTGTAGCGCAGAGTGAATTTCGACCAGTTTGAAGCATTTCGCTTGTATGGCTATGGCTATAGCTCTGACTACAGTGCGAGTATCTCGCTCTGGTGAGTCCACAGACAGCCGCAGTCAGAGTAGAGCCAGTAGAAGCAGAGGCCCGCAGCGAACGAGCCAACGAGCAAACGAGCGAAATAGGCAGCAGCAAATGCAGAGTCAGAGCGAGCGGACAGAGGGCAACAGTAACGGCAGCGGCGACTGCGTTGTAGCTGTAGCTGTATATCTATATGAGTCGTCACGTGTGTGTATCTGTATCTATGGAAGCAAACAGCTCACAGCCCTACAAACGGGCCACCAGCGACACAGCAGATACGCTGCGAAAATCAATGTGCCGCATTTAGTGTAGGGCATACAACGTCCAGGCAGTGGGCCAGGCGCTATACAAAGCATATTCTATGTGAATATCGGAAAGCTCAGAAATGGACTTCGATTGAAAGGCTAAACGAGATCTATCAATTAAAAGATTCATCTACATACAATTAGGCAGTAAAATATAGATCAAAACTGGGTCTAACCGACTGAGCAATTCAGGCTGCCATTCAATTAGAGTTTAGAACAGGTTCCTCGGCTAATTTATTGATCGATCGATTTATTTATACTCTGCATCTTTATCAGCTGCAGTCAGATAATATTTTATACTTTATCTGATACAGATAAAAACCAACTTTAATCAGAATGCATTAAGTTCATATTGAGAGTCTAACGGAGAGCGAATGAAACTTTGCATAAAACCAATACACTCTACTCTTATTGAGTCTTAAATATTCATATGATTGATATAATAATTTAAAGACTTAAAAACATTTGTTTCTATTACTAATAAAATAAGCAATATTATTCGCAAAATATAATAGAAAATAATCAAATTATAGGCAAATTAAAAATTAAAAGAAAAAAAAAAATATATATATATATAATTCTTTTGAGAAAAAATAATTTCATTGATTCCCAGATCTTTCTACAGTATTTTAATTTGTGATAAAAACCATTATAATTTGTACTAAAATATTTAAACCACCCAATATTGGTATAATGAGACAAGATTCAATATAAAAATTTATATATATATACAATATATATATATATATATATATATATATATATATAAAACTCTGTGATACTATTATTTTTTTTTTTTATAAAATATTTACAATATCATATATTAAAAATATATATATAATTAAAAAAAGAATGAGAATCTGATTAGCATAAAAATTTCTCTCAAAACTTCAAGTGTAATTTAAAAAAAAAACATTAAACAAATTTTCAATAAGTATATGTAATTCACCTATAAATTTGACTACAAGTGTATATAGTATACCAATATATCTATGATAAATGAACTATATTATTAGGAAATTAAGAACTCACCAAAAAAAACTTTCAATTTAAACAAAAAAAAATTAATCTGAAAAATGTTCAAATTTTTATAAATGTTTAATTCGTAACTACAATGAAAAATGCTTAAAACTTTATTATCAACTGTAGAATTTAATAATATACAAAGTAAACCAAAATTTGCTAAAAAGATTTCGCCCAAAATCAAATGGAGCTGAGGACACTGTGAGCTGGAGGCAGGCAGCCAAATAATCTGTTGAATATATGTACTGAAAATGCAAAAAGCTGAGGATTGGGCAGAAGTTGGACGCACAGAGCTCAGCCCACAGTGCAGTGGGTCGATGTCGATTATTCCGGTTGTTTGCCGTCTCAATGCGCGTGTGTTCGTTCGTTGGCTCGCTCGCTTGCTCGCTCGTTCGTTCTTTCGTTCGTTCGTGTCCCGTACCCATGCTAACGGGCCGTTGACATCGGGTGGGTTGAGGGTGTGGATTCAGCCCGCTGCGCTGCTGCTGCCGCTGCCGTCGCTGCTGCTACTGCTGCTGTGCTGCTGTGAGGTGAGAGACGCGCCTGTTGGCTGCAGTCGTTTCGGTGGTGGCAATTGTCGGCTGTATGAACGGGAATATATGCTCGGGATGTATGCAAACCAGCAGCAACAGCAGCAACAGCAGCAGCAGCAGCAGCAATGGAAGCGCACGAAGGAGCGAACGAGCTAACGAACCGACGCACGCACACTCGACAGGATGTGAATATACATATATAAAGATAGATATGTGTGTGCGTGCGTGTGTCTGTGTGTGTGTGTATCCTTTCCTATACTGCGTGTGTGTCAGAGCATAGAAACAAAGTGCAAACTGGTAGGCACATTGAATAAGAGCCAAGCGGCAAACATAGCACAGCCCGAACTGCATATACCCTCTTCACAATATGTTAGAAAAAACATATGTAATTTAATTAATAACTATTGGCAAGCTATAATTGAATGATGAAAATAGCAATTACTGATTAGAATAGGTAATAGTCATCAATCGAAAATGACAAAAAAAAACATATGTGATATGATCTGATATGGTATTAGTGACGTATGATAATTATCACATTTTTAACCATTTTTATTAGCTAATTATTGTTAATTACAGAGATGAGTGAGAGAGTTGGCTGACATAAATTAAAGTACATTTCAAATATAATTTAATTCTGATTGATTGATTGATCTATTGCGGTTTATAATGCAGTTGTCGTTGGCGAGTTTCAATAAAAAATGTTTAGGTAATATAATAATAATATATATAGTAGAGCTATATTCAAGAATTCAAATATATAATAAAAAAGAACAATTAATATATAAGAATTAAAAATTAAAAATAAATAAATAGAAATGAAATAATAAAAAATTTAAACCTAAAACAAAAGAATAAAAAATAAATAAAAAATCGAAACAAATAAATATTAATTTTTTATTAATTAATTATTATTTTTAATAGTTTAATTTAATTTTTGTTTTACTACCAAAATTATTTTTAGCTAAATTTCTTAATTTATTACATTTTTAAATTAATATGAGTTTGTTTAGCTTATAAAAAACTTAATTTCAAATTTATTTCTAAAATAAACTGATTTTCTAAAAAATCTTTAATTTATTAGAGATCATTTAGTTCATATAAATTAAAACAAAAAGTAAGTAAATTAATTGCTTACTTAATTTATTTTTATTAACATAAAGTAAAGAATTTACCTGAAAACAATTTGTAAATAAATTATTCAATGATTAATTATATAAAAATATGTTAAATATTAAAATAGTATTTGTATTCAAACTTTAAAATAATTGAAAATAATTTCTGTATCTATTGAAAATTTATTTTCAAACGTTTTCAAGTTTTTACTTAAAATATATCTTAATTTATTTAAGGTCTTCTCACTTTCTGAATTACAATTAATTTCTGAATTTATTTAAAATTAATGTTTAAACCTTTTCAAGCGCATAAAAACAATCTTAAAATATATTTCAAAATTTATTTAAAATCTATTTTTATTAATAGTTGTAAAACTTCATAAAAACTTCATTTCAGCTGACTTAAAGAAATCTATCTTTGCCATTCCAGCTGATTCTCTGGCCAAAGAGCGTATAGAATTTATCGTTCTGGTAGAGAATTGCAATTCGGGGTGGTCGCTGGCCTTACAATGTTGTTTGGCTTGAAGAGCTGACGATGAGGACGGCATAGTTTGCTAGCTTAGTTGCATTTGTGCGTGTTGCTTGGGTTTCGCATATGCCCGAGTGTGTCTGTGTGTGTGCATCTGATTGTTGCCGTTGGTCCCTTTATAGAACTGGCTGACTTGGGCTGTATGGGTAAAATCTTGCACAGGGAGAGACACACACAAACATACATAAATATACTTTTCACAGCAGGATGGCTTGGCCAGACAGAGAGATGGTCAGAGCGGAGTGCCAGGCACTTGTTGTCGTTGCTGTTGCTGTTTGTTTGTTGTTGTTTTTGTTGCTTGTTTCTTTTGCTTTTTTGGTCCAGTGGCGTCTTCCTGTCGTCGCCTACTTGAGCCAATATGCTTGCCATATGGATGCAATGTATCTCTTACGTTTACCGTTACGTTATGCCATCGCACATGTAACACGCATATTCACAATCCAGGACAATACATTTGTGTTATTATGCAAAACGTTTGCCCAAGAAGTTAGCACATTTGGACAAGTTTGAGCTTTAATTGGCAATTGTTTGAAATTGATACGAATTTTTGGCTTAGGTCGTTAGATGTTTGAAGAAAGATAGAAATTTTTGTCAATTATCATTTTTATACGAAGTAAAGATATTTTCAAAAACATTTTAATACTAAATTAAATTCTAGTAAGTCTAACTCTAAGTCAAAAATTGCGCTTTACTCGGTATTTCTTTTGCAATTCTCAACAAGTTAAAGCTTGATGCTAATAGTGCTAATAACTACTTATTGGATCAGTGAAGCTCTAGTTAATCATTGGATAGATTCAGAAATAATATATAAAATATAAAGCAACAAAATAAATAAATTAGGAATAAACAGAAAAATCAGGCTGGATTCAACTATCAAATCAGTTCCACTCGATCTCACAGTTGGCAACAAACTATTTAATGGCACAAAATGTAATTACTCTAAGCCCTGATTGCGCTGAGTATGCATGCATAAGCACAGGTAGTAGCCGACCACCTGAAGCTCCAGCTGGGGTCTAAAGTATTTGCGCCGGCCGCTGGTTCTGAATCTGAATCTGAATCAGAGTCTGGCCGCTGCGGTTGTCGCTGGCCTCTCTATACGAACACGAACAGCTGATGATGCATATAAATACCGAGTGGGAGAAGTGAGTGCTCGCAAAATATGCGGATGGGTTTTTGTTGTTTGGAGGGCGATGGCGTTGGCACTATGAGGCTGCTCGGCTGTGTGTGTGTGTGTGTGTGCGTGTGCGGCTCGGGGCCCCAAAACAGCCAGACAGCTGGGCAGACAAGCGGTCAGGCCGATTGGTCCCACACGAGAGGGCCCCCACCGAGTCTTGCAAAGGCCAAGTTCAGTATCTTGAACACACATTTCATGTGCTGCCTATTGTTGTGTTGACCGAGTGTGTGGCTGGCGATGCAGTTGCGCGATTTGAAACAACAACAGGACTCGCACTCCCACATCCCCCAACTTCGACTCGAGCTGCGAAAGTCTGCTGTGATTCTGGGCCATGCAGCCAGCCGCCTTCATGTGACCCAATTTCGTTGGGGAGCTGCGAAAGTGAAGCTCTGAGCTTCATTTTCACATCAGCCTGTGGGCGGGTTGGCCAATATGACCGTAGGCAATTCAAGGGCTAACCAAATGATCTCAAGTTATAAGACGAAACTTGACAAACTGAAAGGCAAGGATATACAAGGATATATATATATATATATATATATATATATATATTATATATATATATATATATATATATATATATATATATATGTATATATATATATATATATATATATATATATATATATATATATATATATATATATATATATATGTGTGTGTGTGTGTGTATGTATGTATGTTTGTATATCTGTCTCTCTCTTTCATTATCTTATCACTGATTAAAGTTCAGTTTGGCAACAATAATTATTGTAAGAGAGAGAGAGAGAGAGAGAGAGAGAGATTAACAGACTGGATCATAAACTATACTGTAAAAGTTTTGGGTGAAATTTTCAAGCGACTTGTTGTGCCTAAGTGACGCAGTGTAGCGCCATTTGTTGTTGCAAAATTCAGTGAGACAACGATAAGCATGTGCTGCTCATAAAAAAAAATGAAACAACAACCGCAACAACAATCACAGTCAGCAGTTCGCCGCCGCCGCCGTCGCCGTTGTTTTCGTCCGGTTTTCGCAGTTTTCTCTGACTGAGTCTGAGAATTGAACGACGATTTCTACATACACATGCACGCATACACATGCACTTACATAAATATCTCTAAGCATACATAAGTATGTATCTATGTATGTATATGTAACATGTAATGGCTCTTGTCGCCAATGCCTGCGTTTTACTATGTGTGTGTGTTCCTGTGTGTAGGGTGTTTGTGAATCATGCTAGCCGAGTTCGCCGCATATGCCAAAAAGACAGCTAGTTTGCGCCATAATTTAAGACAAAATTTTATGTTATAGCGCGAAAATACAACGATTCGGCCCAGCCTACACTCACCCACACAATAACACGCGTTCACACCACACACTCATACAGCACTCAGTCAGTCACATACTCTCTCGCTCTGACGCTAGCAGTTACTCACGCTCACCAGTTCTCCTGCTCTCTGCAGTTTAGCTCGGTTGCTCGCTCGCTCACTCGCTTGTTTGTTCGCCGCTGTGGTACAGTACGGTTTGCTATCATTGCTGTTTGTGTTACTGTTTCGCTTTGCTTTTGCTTTTGCTTTTGCTTCTGCTTTTTAATGTACTTGCCTTGTGCTTTAGCATTTGCTCGCGCGCTCTGTTTATGTGGCGATGCATTGCTTTTTATGCTCTGCCTACAGTAAATTCACATATTCTTTGTTTAGAATAAACCAATATACAATATTCCCTCTACACTGATTAATTTATAATAATTAGAGGTGGCCGCTTGCTGTACCATCTATCGTGACACGAGTCCCATGATTCATCTTTTCTTTAATAATAATAATAATAAAAATACAAATAAATTCGAATATGAATGAAATAATATTTAATTTTATATTATTTTATATTAATTTGTTTAAAAATTAATATAAATTTGATCGTATTGCATATTAAATTGTAATATTATTATAAAATACTTAGTAATACTTATAAGTAATTAAGTAATTAAATAAGTAAGAACTTTTTTGCTTTCTGCTAAGCGTTAAGTACTCATGTAGCATCGACACATTTTTTCCTGATATTTCCTGATACTTTTCTTAATATATTAATATTAATTAAATAAATTTAACTCTGTGGTCTCGCCGCTAACTTTGCGACGTTCCACTGAGAGCATATACTGAATTTTAGATTGCATGATCATCGCATTTGAGATGGGCATGCTCCTTAGTTGGGCCGCAACGCTGAGTCCGAAGAACGTAAACTCATCGTCGCCAATCGATGGCAGCGTCAGGGTTCGATCCATTACCGTAGAGTTTGTCGCGGGTATGGAGTTGACTTCGACTGGAGAGGGAGGTTGGACTGGCGGCGAGATGAGGCGCAGCGGGGGTGGCGGACTCGAAGTAGGCATTATTGATAGTGCAGTTGTAGGTATAAGCACCTGTTGATTGGGCTCTAGTTCCATTTTGATTTCGGGTTTCTCCTCGGACACAAGCGGAAGCAGCTTGACGGGCTTCAAACGCGGCAAGTTGATCTGCAAACGCTTTAGAGGCGGCGTATGCAGCAATGCCTTATCTTCCGGTTTCTGCCCATACGAATTATTTAATACACAAAAACTGATTGCAAAAAAAAGCTCACGTTTTACCTTGTCCAGAAACTGTGCCAGAAACTTGTGCAGTGGGGCAAACCAGGGAATTTTCGGCGTATATTTCGGATTAGCTCTGATCTTCTTTAGCTCCTGATGATAGCCTGTGCGCATGTTCTTGATTTTCATCTTGACACCCTGCAAGGTAATCGGATTCTCCGTGGAGTCCGCATCGGCATTAATGCCACTCTGTATGCGCTTGTAGGCCGCATTGCGAGCTCCCCATAGATAGGGTCTACGGTTCCAGAGGCACGGCTCGTTGCTGTAAAGCTCCACGAACTTCATGTGACGCTCGTCGGTGAACCTGAATGGCAGGCCTCCATTGCTGGACATATGGACAGCAGAATATAAGAGAGCAAACAAAGAAAAAACCGTTAGGCGACCGCGCGCTCGTAATGCTAGCAGAGAACTGCGGCCAGCCGATTGTTGCTTTTGCTTTGAGTAGTTTTCAGTTGTTGGCGCTCGGCTCTTGCTCGTGCTCGTGGCGAAAGCTTTCGCTTTGCTTTTGAGCTTTTGCTCCATGCTACATATCAGCTAGCACGTTATCTTGCTTTGCAATTCTCTCTGTTTCAGTCGAAAGAAGAACGGACAAGTGGAGTAGATTTGTAGAGTGGACTTATCGATAGCTTTGAACAATCGATAAATGTTTTAACTTGCGGAAAGAGACTCCTGTACTCCTATATTTAAGTGGAGCATAGAGTTGATTGGATGGGGTAGTTAAGTTAGTTAGATGAAGAACGGCAAAAGCAATTTTTGATATTTTCCAAAAATCGATAAACGATTAAACTAATTGAAAATAGTTTTCCTGAGTTGGCTAAAAAATTACAGGATGTTAGATATGTGCAGACCTTAGACCTTATTTTCAGAACGTTACTTGCATATAGTCAACTGAAGAACGCGTTTAACTGTTTTTGGACAGCATATATCGATAGTTGCGGATAGTCGATAAACGATTATTCTACAAAGTAAACTTCTCTATAAACCTTTGTATTATATAAAACTATTTCCCAGGAGCCTTACACAAGATTGGACACATTATAATCTAAATCGCATGTAGGCAATGGGTTCTAATTTTTCCCTTAAGCATATTTAGTCAATAGACAACGGCATTGTTCTAGTCATTGATATGGGCTTACCTACCTTGAGCGTCTATTCTTGTGAACCCAAGTTGGTCTTAAAAATATTTCCCAAAGGCTGCACTTCCAAATGCAGCTTAGCAAGAAATTGCAAACAGAATTTCATAGAGAGTCCTTCGACTGTCTGCCAAGCAGGCTGCCTGTTCTATTCGTGTTGTCCTTGTTGTTGTGTGAATTGCAAACAGCGCGTGACATCGTTATCCTGTTTGCGACCGGCTGCCATTGCCGTTTGCCTGTGCCTCTTCCTCTCCCAGCTATAAATGTACCCTCAAATAGCATCAACTGCAACGCAACTTTTCCTCCAGGCCTTCGATTCTTTTATTCACAGACTTCTACAATAAGTTAATGACAGAAAAACGATCCACAGCGTCTGAGCTCGCGTTCTCACTGTCTCTCTCTCGCACACACACTCTCTGTGCGTAACTTAACCCTAAACGGGACAGCAGCCGTTAGAAGCAACCGTTACAATGTACGTATATATGTTCGTCCATACAAAAAAACTTCCCTGCTTGAGATTTTTTACAAAAGTAGAAGGTTCGCTTCGAAATTTATATTATGTTTATTTCAAGCAAATCTCTGAGAAAAATGTTTTTATAACAATATATAAATTATTGTCTAAGCATATTAATTCTTCATATTCGAGCAATATCGTCGACCTTTTTTCGATCATGAGCCAAAGATAAGCTAATCTAAGTTAAGCACAAGCCCGATTTATATTTCGTATTAATCAAACTTCGTCTATAACTATAGAAAAATAAAAATCTAAGCTTAAACATTTTTTTAAACATCGAAATATTCATAGTCATTTCATAAAAAACATCCAGCCCGTTTATTTGTGACGTCAGCATTTGTAGTTTCAACCTTGTTTGCGGTCTCCAATACACGACAGAAAGTTCGCTGCTATACAATTGAAAATCAATGTTTGCCAATTAAGTTGCTTCTTCAGAAACAGCCAAAGATATGAGTTGATTAAATTAGCTGAAAAAAAATTAATGTTTAATTGATTTAAAAAAAAAAAACGACTGTATTTGTACATAATTTTAATTTGCTAGTAGTTTGCTTTATCCTCCAGTCAAATATATTGAACCTAAATAGCCAACAATATTTATTTATGGCAAATTACAGAAACATAAACTATATTTATATACCAACATAATTATATTTATGTATAGATAAGCATTTGATGCATGTGGTTTTGTAAAATATGTTTTTGCTTTGGATCAAATTGTCTTTTTGGCGCCATTTTTAAGTGAGGTCTCATTCTTTTTGTATGTACATGCCAGTGAGAGAGCCATTGGGCTGGTGTACGTGTGAAAAAACATTCCACTCGCTCATTGGTAAAATGTGGGGCACAAGAAGAATTTTTTAAATGGTTCATAATTCTTGGTTAGCTAATTTGAAATTGTTTTTATTGCAAATACGCTTTGAGCTATCATTTATTGCAATTACATTTCAAACTACTTTATTGACGTTATTTTTGTTTTTACATGGGTTTTATCGGCGGTTCTGCTTTAGTTTTATATTTCTGATTTATCTCGTTGTTGGTCTCAGATAATAAGCCGGCTGGCTTTACACTCGCTCTCTCGCTTTCAATCTCTTAGATATGGTTACGTGTCGTGAGAGAGAAGCAATAAATTGCAATAAGCAAAAATATAAAAATTCACTACTACAAATAATAGGAAAAAATATGTGGCATTATGCCTACAAACGAACATAACGAATTAACAATTTTATTATTGTAAAAATTTAACAATCATATATATAAATCGTAAAGGTTTTCATAAGTCGTGTTACGTCGTGCATTGTTAAGGGTATGTTTTGCGTCACGCGCTCATCATAGGTAGCATTTATGCCTATGTATGTTGGCTGTGGCGATATCACCATTTTTACCAGCTGCTTGTTTTCGTTATAACAGTGGACGTTAAGTCCGTACAGTTAAAATTGAGCAGCTCAAGAGAAAGGTTGGTTAAGTCCCAAGAACTCTGTTAAATATATGACAACGAAAGTGTGTTAAGTGAATATAAGACTTTTATGTTGCAGTTTTTGTTTATATTGTGAAGTGAATCAATAGTTTTTACTATAAAATAAAACTATTTTCAGTTATCATTCATATTTTGCCAGTCCAGTGAGCACACTTCAATTCGTCTCAGCATAAAGTGCGACGTTGCTGTACGAAGAGAGTAAAGCGATGTCTTTTCTGACTTTGCTTGGCGTGAGCGACATTCAGTCAAAATGGCTGCATAGACTCTTTATTGAATTAGTTTTGCATAATTATGCTTAAAACATGCGTTACTTTCTTGGACACCTTATTGTTTCCCAATAACGGACACATAGTAAACCAAAATGCGCGCGTTTTTGGCCTATTCACATATTTTACTTTGTTTCCATATTTGTATTTGTTTTTACTTGGCATTTAACCGCGTTTCTGCTTTGCCTCTTCATTTGTGCTCTCACTCGCTTCCTCTCTCTCAAACACTCTCACTGTGAGAGAAACTGCCCAGCCGGCAATTTATCTGCTGCCGACGTCGCTGTCGCGCTGCGTGACCAACGTTTGGCTGCTTTTAGCTTCCTTGCCTTTTTGCTTGATTCACACAGTACAGTTGAAGTCAGTAAAGAAACGTGAAAGGTTGGTAAACGCACGCAGTCAGAAAAGAAGAAAATTTTAAAATAATTTTGTGCAAGACAAAATCTAAATTTAAAGTGTGACAAAGTAGTTTTCATTTCTTTTATTGAAGATATTGTTAAAAAAAAACAATATAGTTTAATAAACAAAGAGAGCAACATAAATTAAAAATGGAAAATTGTGCGATTTACTGAATGGCAGACTAATTATAGTATTTAAATAGTGAATATACTGCTTCGGTAGCGTTTTTAAAGGCATATTTAACAAACTTTTCTGTTAATTTTCGCCTGCTGCTTGCGTTTTCACCATCAAAATTTGCTCTTTGTAGTACATTTCTCATACAAAACGACGCTTGGCCTGTGCTTGTACCAGTGCAAAAGAGCGCGTCGCATACACGACGCTGCTGTACCACACAAGCCCAAGCAGCCAGTCCGAGGCGGCAGTACATACAGAAAAAAGTGTTGCCATTTCGGTCTTTTGCACTCAGCGCTGTGGGAGAAGCACAAAGAAAATGGCTGCTAATGTTGATAATTCCATAATTTGGCATTTAAACGTTTATTTTTTGTTCATTATTAGTGCAATTAATTTTGATATGTGAATATTGTTAGCTGCGCGCACTTTGAAATCGTTTCTACTAGAAAGACGCGCGCGCGCGCTTTTCTGAATTGTCAGCTTCGACGCCAGCAGTGTGCATGAGTATATGTGTGTGAGCAGTATTGCCATCTCTTTTGATGCGCGGCCATTGCTGCATGTGTGTGTCTGTGTGTATGCTTGCTGCTGCTTGGTTATTTGCTCTATGGTGGTGGCTTCTCTTGCTTTTTTTGAGCGGCATTTCTTCTGGTCGCTCGCAGCGTACACATATTTTATAAGCTGCGATGGATACTAATTTGAGTGTTTCTTATTATAATTTTCATTGCAGCTTGAAGCTTATAGCAAATTAATTTAGTTACTTACTACTTACACACAAATCAACACAAAGCAAAATGGCCGATAAACCAAAACGTCCTCTCTCAGCTTATATGCTGTGGTTGAACAGCGCCCGCGAGTCGATCAAACGCGAGAATCCTGGCATCAAAGTCACCGAGGTGGCCAAGCGTGGAGGTGAATTATGGAGAGCAATGAAGGATAAGTCGGTGAGTTGAGAAAAGTTTATAATTAAATAATCGATTTATTTAAGTCAAATTTGGAATTGATTACTAATATAATTACTCTGTGTGTTGCAGGAGTGGGAGGCAAAGGCAGCCAAGGCTAAGGATGATTACGATCGTGCCGTGAAGGATTATGAGGCCAACGGGGGTGGTGGTGGCGGTGCGGCAAATGGAACAGCCAAGAAGCGTTCAAAGCCTGCCAAAAAGCCAGCGAAAAAAAGCAAAAAGGATGATTCTGAGGATGACGACGATGAGGAAAGCGAGTAAAGCATTGTTACTTTGTTGGCATCATCAAGGAAACCACAAGAACATCAATAGTGGACCTCCTCATTCAGTCAATCGCATTTCGTCTAAACTCCACTACCAACAACCCACTCTCCACACTCCACATACACCAATCACATACCCAAAACAAAAAGATAATCACAAACCATAGCATAGAGACACAAAGGCCCCAATAATATCAAAAGAAACAGAAAAGTTGCTGTCGACATACGCAACTAAAGAGAAACCAACAGCAACAACAAAATGAACATGCAAAATTGTATTTATACATAAGAGTTTAAGTTTACAGTAGGCGTTTCTTTTAGTATACACATTTCAAGAGAGGACAAAACAGTTTTAAGTCGAGCTCAACGCGTTGGATTAATTGATCCTGCCGCATAAAACATAAAAAAATTAAATTAAAGGCGGCAAAACAAATGAAATTGATCAATTTGTATATCTTGCATAAAACTTTGTAAATTAAACGATAACGTAATTCCATTAAAAATAATAATAAAAAAAAAAACAAAAATCGAAAAATTAACCATTGTTCTGAGAAAATATCCTGTACGTGAGTAGAATTTACTCACAGAAACCAACACCACACGAGAGACACTGCTAGGGTCAGCCAAAACGAACGGCTTATTTACCGTCTATTATATAGATCGATATATACAAATAGCTCTAAATGCGTAATGTTAAAGAAGTTGTCAGATGTAATGGAAAAGAGTGTACAAAAGCAAAAACAAACAAAATAATGGAAAAGGTGTTGAGAGAGCTTTTTTCATGACGTTCAAAAACGAACGAAATTTCGCTCAGGTTTTTCGTAATTATTGAACTCTAGATAAACATCTTTGTTAATCCCTAAAGATGTTGGAAAATAAAAAAGAAAAGAAACACAAAATATATATTGCATTTAATCTGTAGTCTTAATTAATACCTATATAATTTAATTCCAATATGAGAAACAAATAAAGAAAAAAAAGAAAGAAAAAAAAAAACAAAATAAAATAAAATACATTTTTTAAATGTGTTAAAAGAGAAATGTTTTCATTTTTATCAGCTTAAAAGTATGATATTGTAGCAGGTTCAAATACTACTAAATCTAGAAGCTTAAGATATTTGAGGAAATATCACATTTAAGGGATCGTTGGGGAAGGTTGTTGGACCAATTTTAGCTTAGACTGATAGCATAGGTTTTTTTAGAGTTACACAAGCTTAAATCACGATAAGTTAGATAAATATATTTTAAATATTAATAAAACTGACTTTATTGCATAGAATATTTAATGACATTAATGCTTAAATATGATTTCGTTCATGTGGCCGCCACGGCTGGCGCGTACATGGCGCAATCTGGAGCTCCAATCTTCACAAACTTTGCGCAGCAGTTCCGGCCGTATTTCGCCAATAACTCTTCGAATATTCGCTTCCAGGTGTTCAATTGTCTCTGGTTTATCGACGTACACCAGTGACTTTACATGGCCCCAAAGAAAATAATCCAATGGGGTTATATCACACGATCTAGGCGGCCAATTAATTGGACCATTGTGTGAAATGATTCTTTCGTCAAAAGTCTCTTTGAGTAAATCAATTGTCGCGCGCGCTGTGTGGCAGCTGGTTCCGTCCTGTTGGAACCACATGTCAGTCAAGTCAGTGCCAGCTAATTGAGGTACGAAAAAAGTTCTAATCATGTCCCTATACCGTTCGCCACTGGCAGCAACATTCTGGCCATCATCGTCCTTGAAGACATATGGACCAATGACTCCGCCAGCTGATAAAGCGCACCAAACAGTAATTTTCTGTGGATGTAACGGTGTTTCGACAAAAGCTTGTGGATTATCCTCACTCCAAATGCCACAATTGTGTTTATTTACGTACCCGTTCAACCAAAAGTTGGCCTCATCGGAGAACAGAATTTTGAATGGGAATTCAATATCAACATCGATTTGGGCTTTGGCCCATTCGGCGAATTGGCGACGCATTCGATGGTCGTTTGGCTTCAATTCCTGCACAAGTTGGATCTTGACAGATTTGGAGATTTTAATATCGTTTCGTAGAATCTTCCACAAAGTGGAAGGACACAGCCCCAGTTGCTGGGAACGGCGACGAAGTGATTGATTTGGATCTTGTTCAATGCTTTTCTGTACAGCGGCAACAGCTTCTGCAGTGCGCACTGTGCGGCGTCTCATGGGATGCACGTTATCATTAAGTGTAAACGTGCTCCGAAATCGGTCCATTGTTATTCGAATTAGCCGTTCTGAAGGACGATTATGTACGCCATAAATTGGACGAAGTGCGCGAAAAGTTTGGCGAATAGAGCCATTGTTTTGATAAAAAATTTCAACAATTTGCAAGCGCTGCTCCGGTGTAAGTCTATCCATAGCGAAATGTCAAACCAAACTCAAGAAAAAGCACCCATCAGCTGGTAAATGGGTTGACAAATAAATCAGAGTTGCCAGCTGAAAGTTGCGAACCTCGAAAAAACACCCCTTATATTAAATTAAGTTTAGTGAGGACACTCAATCAACATTTCTCTTGAGCTGCTCAATATTAACTGTACGCACGAAAACAAGCAGTTGACACATATGGAGAAATGCTGATTAGGATGAGTGCGTGACGCAGCACGTACACGACGTAACACGATTTATGAAAAACTACGATTAATATATATATATAGATATTGGAAATAATAATAGTATATATTTGATTTGCTCATTTGTGGTTATAACACCACCTAGTTTTGCTTAATGTTAATAGTATTCAATTTATGTTTTTACTTATTTCAATGTATTGCTTCTCTCTCACGACACGTAACCATAACTAAGAGAGTGAACGTGAGAGAGCCGAGTGAAAACACAGCCGGCTTATTATCTGAGACAGTGAGATAAATCAGAAATGTAAAACTAAAGCAGAAACGCCGATAAAAGCAATGTAAAAACAAAAATGTAAATGAAATATGTAAATGCTAGCCACAAAGCGTGTGTGCAATAAAAACAATTCGAAATTAGCTAACCAAGAATTATTATTATATTTAAATTCTTCATGTGACTCGCATGAGTGAGTGGAGTGTCTGTTGACACATGTCCACCAGTCAAGTCAGTGGCTCTCATTAAGATAAAAACAATATTGAAACGTTTTATTCTTATTTATTGTTTTAAATATCATCTCATTCAATAATCGATCACTAAAACTAAATGATTTCATCTGCTGCTGCTGTTGGGATTCATTAGATGTAAATGTTTTATGTTATGCATGTATGTAGTTTATCTATTGCATACAAATACCGTTAAGCTATTAATAATTCACGTTTGTTGGGCTCAAATAGCACTCCATGGGATTATGATTAACAATGTTAAGGCTAAAAACTAACATTTAACAAAAGCACAATAAGAATTCAGATCAACTTCGAAGTGCGATATATAAAATTATGCGCTATTAGATTAAGTCATAGGTATACACAAGATATAGTATATACATATACAGATATATATATATATATAAACAATTTTCAGTTCCGTGCTTTGGATTGGTTCGAATGGTACACACACACACACATATACAAAAGAAAATGGGTTGAAAGTCGCGTTCTGTTCGGAGTTACTTCGGTTGGTTTGTTTAGGACGTGGAAATACTTGAACTGCTTATAGAAGAAGAGTTAATACGTTTCTATAAATTGACAAATATTAAAAATTGCTGCTTTGATTTTTGTTTTTTTTTGGTATCCACCACGGACAAACATCTTAGTTGTGCTTATTTAATTAGACAGAACTTATAACAAATATGGCAAAATAAAAAAAAAAATATATGAAAAGAAAACAACAAAGTCTCTCCCAGTGCCGCTGGCAAACAAATAAAGTTAAGACGAAAACTGAAAATGAAAATCGGCTACGTTTCCCGGCTGGCCGTTTTGCGTGTGTGTATGCAGCAAGTGAAGAAACGGAGAAGAGCACCATCAGGCTGTCACCTGGTGACCTAGTTGCGGTTCAGCCAGAAGATGGTCTTCAGCACAAAGTAGGCCAGGCCCAGGCAGTAGACGATCTTCTCTCGCTGCAATCGCTGCTCGTTGTTGATCTCAATGTTGAGAACGCGTCTATTCAGTTTGGCCAGCTGCCGGCGCAGATAGAGGATCTCCTCGTGCGGCGTCAACTCACCCATGGGCGTGCCCTCACGCTGGGCCAGCATCGAGGCGTCCAAATTGCTTTGCTGCTGCTGCTGCAGGTGCTGTTGCATCAATTGCGAGCGTTTGCTTCCGCTACCCGTTGTAAGCTGTCGACCAAGAAACAGAGAAAGCGAGTTACAAATTTTGCTCTTCGAAGGCGTCTTAACTTACGGCAAAGTTCTGATAGACCATGGCTTAAATATAAAATATATAATAAATATTAAAAGATATATATATGTATATATCAAGTGCTTAGCTTCCTAGATTTTGACAAATTACAAAGAGCTAAGCACAACGACAGCATTCCTTATGTAGTCCAAGCCTATCTTTGATTAAAGCCAAGTTTAAAGCGCATTTTCGTGTTGCTAACTCGCTGGGCTGACTCGAAAGTTTGTAGTGCCAATTGCTCTACGAGATGCTAAGATGTTCATTAAAGTGTACAACAATTCGACCGAGATCGTAGAACTCCTGACATTTCACTCAGCAATCTTTCAGTGAAGTACGTCGTACATCTCTAGACAGGTTGGTAGGCAAAATTAGAAAATACAGTACAAACAAGTTGGGATTGGGTTGAGAATATGTCACAAGCGCATTATTCCGAGGAAGATGAACTGCCCAAGATAGAGTCCATCAGCAATGCCGTCAAGTGCGAGCAGACGGGTCACATTATGGAGGCAATACTGCTCTACGAGGAGAGCATCTTCAAGCTCAATCAGTTGGCCAGTTCGGATCCAAAGCGACAGCAGCTCTGCCACAAATACTTGAAGATGTACGAGGCGCGAGCCAATCAGCTGCGTGATCAGGTCAAGGTGCATCTGCACTCCAGCAAAATGCTGGAGCATATTATAGTTGAGCGGGATGCGAGGGGGCGGGGCTATCAGCGTCTGCTCGGCGCTTACTTCAATGATAGTGTGAAGGAGGCGCATCTGAACGAGCCGCAGCTCTGCGAGCAGCATCATTTCAAGAATCTGGTTAACTTCTTTGAGGTGCTGGTCAAGAGTTGTCGCTACTTGAAGTACATACGACTGACGACGCGGCCGGATCTGGCGTTGCCAAAGAATCAGATGCACATACTGCAACAGATTCGCGCCGATCTGGCCACGGGCAACATTCACATGAACTTCCAGTTGGACGAAACGCTGCACGACCGCAAGATCGTGCTCAGCTCCGGCGTGGTCATCAAAATCGGACGCGGCCTGCACTATTTCGAGCCCACCGAACACCTCTACACGCTGGGCCTGTGCGATTTCGACTTTCGCAAATGCCTGGCCACCGAGGTGGACGTCTGGAAGTGCCGTGCCTTCGCCAAGCCACTCAGGCCACAGCCAGAGCATCCCGTCTACCAGCAGACACCCAAGGATGCCGAGCAACGTGCCCAAGGCATGGCCAACATCTACTCGAGCGAATAGCGTGCGCAAAATCAAAACTTGGCTTATTGCCACTACACACAGCATTCCGGTCAAATAGTAACTAAAGCAAATTGTGGTATTAGAGCTAAAAATTGTGCAAATATAGAGTAAATACAGATTAGCAAATAGCTTGATTAGAGATCAAATATACCTGACTGCATAAATTATTAAAGATTAACTCATGCTATACCAAAGCAAAGGTAGTTAAGATACTCTGAATGAATAATGGAGATGCTTGACTAAATTGCAACTATTTAAGATCGTATAAGACAAGGACATGGAGTTCTATACATATAGAGAAGGCAAAGAGGTATATCTAGATCTTATGGTAGACATATAAAATGATATCATGGACAGGCTATGGAAGTCACTATAGGAACTTATAGAAGATATTCCAATACATCTAAATTATATGTTAATATATAGATAAAGATATACTTAAAAAGAAATATACTTAAAAGAAGTATATATGGATATAAATGGGAACTATTTAAGATGGGTATAAATGGGAACTATTTAAGATGGGTATAAATGGGAACTATTTAAGATGGGTATAAATGGGAACTATTTAAGATGGGTATAAATGGGAACTATTTAAGATGGGTATAAATGGGAACTATTTAAGATGGGTATAAATGGGAACTATTTAAGATGGGTATAAATGGGAACTATTTAAGATGGGTATAAATGGGAACTATTAAAGATCGTATGTTAGAACAGGTTCTGTTATGAGAATAATATATATTTGAACTAGTTCCTTGAGATGCCTTAAGGTTAATTGGAAAACCCTAGTAGCATCTTAAACAGATCCCCGAACTTAACTAGAAGAACTAAGCTTGAATACATACATACATATATATTTATATTATATTATATGTATATATATATATATATATATATATAAATATATCGTCTACATTCTTCCCCGCAGCTATGTGTCATATACATATAAAGCTATATTCTCCCAAGGAATCTATATCGCGAGGCATTCCTCTAAGTCAACTAACCACACATTGAGAAATCAATATTGAGTGGAGAAGTGTAAAATCCGTAAATGCCAAGAGCTTGGCCGTCAGCAGTTCGTTAATCGCAAAACAAATAATTAAAATGTGGCTGCGAGTGGCGGGTAGGGGCGGACGTAGGCGAGTGTGTCGTCATGAGCTGCATTAGCACATGGGCTGATAATGGAGGCGCACTTTAAAAGATTACGCGCATCGAAATTGTATCGAATTACGTTCGTGATATGTGGTCGGCATGGTACGAAATGAACCTGGCATTAGAAATTCCATAGACAGATCTGACTTATGCAAGAGTTGGACAAATTTATGAATTGATATGTGGAAATCTGTTCTGCATTTGCTCACCAACGAGTCGGATTCCACGGAGTTGGCATCGGTGCTATTGTGAAAGCCCATGCGTACGTTGCCATTGGAGCGCACGTACTGTATGGCACGCTGTCCATCCTCGTCTTCATCCACATCTCCGTCCAGATCGTGTCCATAGAGATTGCCATTGGATTTGAGGAGCGGCGAATTTTGCTCCGACGCTGATGGAAAATGATGATCGGTGAGCGTTATGACGCGCGGTGGCGTTTGTACGCGCAGAAAGCCCAGCGACGGATTCTTGGGCAATATGGAGTTCTCCAATTGAATTTCACGCGGAGCTGAACGTGTCTCCAGATGCTGATTGTGGCCCAGCACCACAATGCGATCTGGTACATTCATATCGATCTTGTCATGATAGTTCCACGAGCTAATCATGCCATTTTGATTCGATAGCAGTAGATCCTCGTCGGAATACTCGCCGGTGGCCTTGATGCGCTTCGGCACACGCATCTTGTCGTTGATCTCATGCGCATATTTCGCATCGTTGTACAAATCATCGTCCAGCCCGTTGAACATTGGCACGGGCGATTGTGGTGTGACCATTGCGTCTGGACTTTAAATCCTCTCTCGTCGAAGTATTTTCCGTCGTCCTCTGCAGCACGACTGGATGGGCGGGGGACGCGACTGCGGTGCTGCTAGTGGGGCACGACCAGGGTATTGTTAGGTGTTAGGTGTTAGGAGAGAGACGTTTTCATAACAGTTATAAATCACTGGTAATTTAAGTTGAGATTGCACAACATGTTTGCTATCTTTCGTGGAAATTTTGTTAATTTTGTACTACTTACATTTTTGAACTGACAGAAAAGCTTCCGTATATTCCGTGTAAATTTTAATTTTTTTCTCTTTATGCTCGCTTCGTGTCTTTTGTTGTAGAATTATATGTGTGCAAAAAGGCAGCAAAAGAATGTACTAAATATGACCATAAATGCATATGTAGTAGAGATCTGCAGCAGTGCAATAAATATTAAAACTAGTTATGCCATTTCAAATTGAGCTTGAAAACAAATAGAATCTTATATATATGGCTATTTAAATATTATTAACTTTATGTTATATATATTTTAAAATATTTGCAGCTGTCATCTTTGTGTGATGTCTATTGGCAACTCTACATTGCGCAGTCATTCACCACGAAGCGTTAACAATACACGCACACAAAGGCGCGTTGCCGCGCTCATTTACAATATAATTTCAGCAGCATTCGGACGAGTCGAAAGGCGTCCTTTTTATAAAGCACAAAGACTGGCAGTTTTAATGTGACTAGTTAAACAGAATATCGTATAAAAATAATAAATAATTTAACAAAACCTAAAAAAACATTTAACGCGTATTGGCTATTGTTCAATTGTAAGTGCATTACGAGTAGATAACAATATTTGCTGCAGTCTCTGTTGGCGACGACGTCGACGTCGACGTCGATGTCGCCGGGTACAGTACGCGCCGTTTTTTTCGTGCCAGCTGAAAAGTGTTGCCATTGTTGTTGTTGTTGTTGGTCTTGTAAATAGTGTGCGGCTGGGTAGGGCGGGAAAGTGTAAACACAAATAGCTTGTAGTGCTATAAATAAAATATAGCGCGCTTTTCTATATATTATATAAATAAATTTTTGTGTATGTACTTACAGATCGTGAATATTTAAATTAAGCAACTGCAATGGACCGACGCTTATTACGTTCGCGTCGCACAGAGGATTTCAGACCCGCTGCTGCCGCCGCAGCCGCCCCACCCACTACGCAGCCGACCGCTGTCGCACAGACCCGACGCAGCAACATTGGAATACGCACACGTGCTTCGCCCTCACGCAACAAGGTGCTGCCAGAGCCACCCGTTGCCGATGTCGGACTACGCGCTCGCCGCTCCAGCCGGCCACGTTCCGCTGCCGGACAAGCGGCAGCGCCCGCCACGCGGGCTACGATCAAAGCGCAAACACCTATCAAGGAAGTAGATGAGGTTGGTGCAGGTTCCATTACTTTCCGTATCATTTATATGCATATATATATATAGATAAAGGTATATATATATATATATATATATACATATGAATATAACTATATATATATATAGTTATATATTATAGTTTGTGTTTATGTTAATTGTCTTGTTTGTAAAGTTTTTTCAACTTTGTTATCTTGGCTCTCTAATCCAATCCACGTTGAGGCCTTATCTAGTCGAAGTGCGTGAAGATATGTCTGCATATATATATACATATATATATATATATATATATATATATATATATATATATATATATATATATATATATATATATATACTATATGATATATAACAAAATAAATTATATTATAAATTGAAAAACTTTTTTATTATAAAAATATTTTGATAAACAATTTTTATGAAATATATAAAATTTAAATATATAATTTCTGAAATAATAATATAATAATAATATAAAACTTAATATTGGCCTAGTATATCTTATAAAGTTAAGAATCATGTGCGGTTTATTATATAAAATATTTAAAAATTGGCTTAAATATAAAGATATGCTTTATGAGATACTTAAGTTATCTGAATCTAAGATTTTTGCTATAGAATATAAATATCATTTTAATATCGCACTTCCATCTGATATGTTAAGTCAGCTAGATAACTATTATTATGACATAAACATTATCGTATCGTATATCGTAATACTATATCGCAAATATCGTAATACTATGTCACATTATATAAAATTCTCGATATCGATAGATATTGACAAAGAATATAGCTCAGATGTATTCATCGACCTTTCAAAACCCATAAAATTTGTTTACCATGAAGATTCTCACCTGGCTCTTTCCCTCTTTTTAGGTGCCGTCTCCAGTGCGCACTTCGAACAGCAGCTTTCCGATGACATTGACCACGAACACATCGTCGCGTGCGCCGAATGTGGCGCTGCTTACCTCCTCGGTGGGCAGTCCGAACAGCAGTCGGACCTACAGCAGCACCACAACGACAACAGAGCGCATCGAGATACGCAGCGAGGGTGGCACCGGGGACGAGGTGGACACCGAATCTATACGCAAACGCCTCACAGATCGTCTGCGTCGCTCTCTATCGAAGACCATCTCGAGTGTGGCGGGCTTGAATGCGAATACGAATAATTCAGAGGACGCGGGTAGTCGGTACAGCCGATCCGTGTCGCGTTCCGTTTATGATGATGACAAGAGCTCGAAGCGCAGCTATTCCACTGGCGAGGAGGATGACGAGCAGCTGGACGATGAGGACGAGCAATTCCGGAGCTTCAATGTCACACGGCAGTCGGTGACGCCAGTGTTGGGCAACGCCTGTCGCAAGCTGCAGGTGCCAAGTGAATTTGGTGGCTGGCCCGGTGCACTGTTCCTGCTGCTGACTGTGCCCCATCTGGTCTACTATCTCACCTGGAGCTGTACGGCACGCAATGGCTGTCAGTTGAAGCGCGCCAATCTGACGGCTCTGCTAGACTGGAACTATCTGACGCGTCAGGTGTTCCAGACGCACGTCGTCGGCGTCTTCTCGGCCTACCAGTTTGTGGTCTTTCTGCTGGTGGCCCTGCTGCCAGGACGACGCGTCCATCTGACACGTGAAACGTACAAATTCAATGGATTGGGCGTGTGCTTCACCCTGCTGCTCGCTGGCGGCATAGCCGAGTACCTCAAGTATCCGGTCGTGAGCTTCGTGCTGCGTCACTATCTCAGATTCTGCATCTATGGACTGGTCAGTGCCTTTGTGGCCGCTGCCTGGAGCTATTGGCGTGTGGACACCACCAAATACAATGTGCTCCGCCAGACGCTCGTCAATGACTACGGTCGCAGCGGCAACTTCTTGATCGATTTTGCCCTCGGCCGGCAGCTGAACCCCAAATGGCTGGGACGCGTCGACTGGAAGCAGTACTACTATCGCTTGTCCCTGGTCAGCACCTTGCTCTATGCCGTCTGCTACATCTACCAGACGCTTCAGTGGCCCCACTGGCCACAAGCCCAGGAGGGCTATGTCTACCTGTTGCGCTACTATTGGAACAATGTCAACTATGATGCAGCCGCTCTACTGGCGGCCTGCTCGCTATTGATCTACGTGCTGGATGCGCTGCTCTTTGAGCATCATCTGAGCTGCTCCTTCGAGCTGCAGCACGAGGGCTACGGCTGCCTGCTGCTGCTGCGCTACGCTGCTACGCCCTACTTGCTTAGCTCGGTCAGCAAGTACTTCTACGAGCAGCGCGTGCCCATCAGCTGCTGGTATGCTCCGTATGCTGTGCTCTGGCTGCTGTTTCTGGGATTGGCCATCAAGCGCTACAGCAGCGCCTACAAGTACAAGTATCGCCTGAACTCGCAGAATCCCATCTTTGCCAACATCGAGACCATACACACCTACCAGGGCAGCCGGCTGCTGTTGAGCGGCCTGTGGGGCCATGTGCGTCAGCCCAACTATCTGGGCGACATCCTTGCTCTCTGTGCCTTGGGGGCGCCCATGTTCCTGCGTCCCGCTTGGCCGCCGCTGCTGTCGCTGCTGCTGCTAGTGCTGGTGCTGCTGCATCGTGCCACACGCACCAATGCGCGCAACCAGGGACGCTATCATTCGTCCTGGCATCGCTATTGCGCCCAGGTGCGCTACTACATAATACCCAAGATTTATTAATCTACCCAACGCCCATCGCCCATCGCCCATTGCTCATCGACAGCTCGAAACACATTTTTGATTTGGCTCTGCCCAACGCATATTCAAATACCTTTTGTTATCCCAGCTTTTACCTGCATTTCATCTCGAATTGTTTTCCTGTACATATATTCACATTGATTACCTGTACTTTATTTTCTTTATCACCTGTCGCAGCGCCCCAATTTTCTCGATTTTAAATGATTTTAGTACAAACTTTTATTTTACTTCAAGACAAAACTAAATGTATTGCTATAGCCATAAAAATTATGTAATGCAAATTATACATATATATATATATATATATATATATATATATATATACAAATACCACTTATATAATTGAAAATATTCTAAGATTTAGAATTTATTATTTAACGACTCGGATATATTTAGTTATAAAAATTTTAAATACATGTACTATGTAAATATATTGCAATTACTTAAATCTAATAAACAAAATAGTTTCGTTTCTAGATTAAAAGAAACGAAAAACAAACAATTTGATTTAGCTTTAATTTAATTTAAAATTTGAACATTTTAATGTAATTTTTAAAGTGTAACGGCTGCACTGCTTTTTTCGTGCTTGCACTGCCTAACACTGCTTACTTTCTTGTGCAAGCAGTTTGTGCGTAGCATTTTTATCTACTTAAGCATAGATGGCGCTAATATGAGTTTAAGTGAAATTTTAATTAGCTCTTGCTTAAAATATTTAAGTATCGTGGAATTATGAGTTGTACAGATACTGTGATTTATACAGCTGCCTATCAGCATTCCATTGCTCAGTTGTATATGGCAAGTATTTAGACTTCTAAGCCATATTATTTAGACTGCTCATCTCGGAGATTTTGAACAAATATGTAACTAAATATATATATGTGTGCATATATATATACATATATATATATATGATAACTCTTAAGTAAATGGCAAATATTGTAGAGTACATTGACATTTAACTTCATTCAATAGCTTAAACACGTGCTGAAATATAGTTATCGCAAATAGTAACACTCTTGCTGGGTCAGCTTCTGCAGTTCGGGTTTTCCCTGTTTGATTTGCCCAACTAACCAGGTCAACTAGCTCAAACTTGCATAGTCATGGCAAAGTTGAAAATCAAGTAATACAATCACAAATCATAGGCTAGGCGATACATGCGGCTTTGAGCCAAGTTCCATTAAAGCTACGCACGGAACTGACTGAAAGAAGTTCGCTTGGCATTGGCTTGCAGCGAGAAGCGAACAATTTGCTAATGTTGACGCCGTTATTATATAATTTGACGGGGCGGGGCGCGGAAGGGGAGAGAGCGGAGCTTGGGGCGGGCCGGGGTGAGGTGGGTGGTTTCATTATCAACGCCGACGGTCATTTGTAAAGCAAACCGCAAAACGCTGTCGCTGGCTGCGTTTTTTCCATTTTCCTTCTACATTTTTTTATTTTTGACAGTTTCCGCGTCATTTTTCTATTGCATGTGGCGAGGGGGGAAGTGTTGAGGGTGGTATTTGGGGGCTGGTTGGCCGGGTCCAGCCAGCCATCGTCATTATTTTGGCATTATGTGCGGCGACTCTCGCAAACATTCGTAAATGTCATTAACAGTTGTAACGGCTTTGGGGCACGCCTACTCCAGGGGAGGGTGCGGGGGCTTGGTTACTTTTTACACAAAATTACTTCTTTTGTGAGGGCGCTGACATTCATCATCATCAACATTCGGTGCTCCTGTGTGCTGGCTCGTTGCGCTTGAGCTGCCGTGTAAACGCCTTGAAATATGCTCTATAATATTTTATTTTTTGATTCAATTTCAGTCACACAACTCGAACTCCGTCTCCGACTCCAACTGGACTCGGGCAGCGGCGCCTCTTAAAGCTGCCAACACAAACATTGTTTTAATTACGCACAACAAGCGACCCCAAGAACTAAACAAGTTTCTACACTTGAAAAAAAGTAGGTGTGCTAAGTGTACAAAGTTTAAAAATTATTTTAAAGATAGATTTAAGTGTTTAAATTAGTAACTACTAAATTACTTACTACTACTAACTAAATATTATAATAATTTTTATTTATTATTATTAAATTATTATTTTATTTATTATTATATTAGTATATTATTATTATTTTATATTATACTAAACAAGCTTATACACTTGTCAAAAAGGTGTGCTAAGTGCACAAAATTAAAAAATAACTTAAAGCAAGGATTTGATTTATTAAATCTAATAACAATTATTATATTACATTTTGTTTATTATTATTTTTTTATATTAGGTCATATTATGTAATTTATTATAATAGATTTATTTAAATATTTATATTTATCATTAATTTATTTAAATATTTATATTTATATTTTTTAATAATTAAAATATTTATAAATATAAATATTTAGAGAAGCTGAGCCAAATTATAGTTATAAGTTTTTTCTCACAGTGTATATGAACGGATGCTATTGAGAAAGCACAAAATGTAGCTTGTCTGTCTGTGTGTGTGTTGGTGTGTGTGCGTCTGTGTGTGTATGTGTGTGTGTGTGTGTGTGTGTGTGTGTGTGTGTGTGTGTGTGTGTGTGTGTGTGTGTGTGTGTGTGTGTGTGTGTGTGTGTGTCTGTGTGTGTGTGTGTGTGTGTGTGTGTGTGTGTGTGTGTGTGTGTGTGTGTGTGTGTGTGTGTGTGTGTGTGTGTGTGTATGTGTGTGTGTGTGTGTGTGTGTGTGTGTGTGTGTGTGTGTGTGTGTGTGTGTGTGTGTGTGTGTGTGTGTGTGTGTGTGTGTGTGTGTGTGTGTGTGTGTGTGTGTGTGTGTGTGTGTGTGTGTGTGTGTGTGTGTGTGTGTGTGTGTGTGTGTGTGTGTGTGTGTGTGTGTGTGTGTGTGTGTGTGTGTTTGTGTGTGTGTGTGTGTGTTTGTGTGTGTGTGTGTGTGTGTGTGTTTGTTTCTTGCACCACAAAATTACAGTTAACAAATTTGCAGAAACATTTAGAAAAGTTGCACTTGAAACAGAGTCGAAACGCAGCAACTGTCCATTCCTGCACCACCCAACCACCCAAGCACGCAACCACTGCTGCTGGCCTGCACTTGAAGAGCTGTGTGGCGAACTCTCTTAATTGCTGCTGCAGTTTAAATTTCCAAATTTGCCAACGAAGCTTTAACGTTGATTAGATTAGGCGCCAGAGCAAAGAGGCGAGCAGAGATATCGGACTGAGCACTGGATTCTACAGTTTTGTGCTCCGTTGTGGCTAAATCAGTTGCTGCCCACTCAAGTTGTGGAGTATTTATAGCCAGCTACCTGGCAACTGCCCACTGCAATGGAGCTGAGGCTGGCAGTGAGAAGCCTTCAATGCCTTGTAAATCACGCCTTTTGTCAGCATCAGATAACGTTTGGCATAAATTTAGTTTTAATTGACTTAATGCTTGTACTTTTATCAAATAATTAATTACAGCTCGAAGTGTGGGCAACTGCTGAGTCGCGACAAAACCACTAAATGTTGCTGAATGGCAAGCAAGCTTATATATATATATCCCAACCTACCTTTACTTGTCTGTCACTCAGGCGTCACAGTTGGCCACAAATCAAATGGAGGACATTGCGAACAGCTCCACATGTTGAGGTCTAGGGCTTCGGGCTGGACGTAGTTTTGTCTTAGAATTCATTGAGTACAAAGTGTAAGAGATATATTGATAGATTTATGGTACTTTTGGACTACAGCCTGGCTAATGTCTAATCAAAATCAAACCTAACATCAACTTTATCTACTATACTTAATGTGCTTTCGCAGCCCTGGTTAAGCGACTCGTCAACTGCAAAACAGTTTTGTGTTTTCTCTCTCTTTCATTCCTGTATTTTCCAACACTAAAACGCCTGCAACATTTAAAATGCGTCGCTTGCTGTGCGCCGTTGGCAGTTTGGACTTGGTGACAGGTCTTTGGCTGCTTCTTAAACGCACAGTGGGCACTTTCAAGTGAAAACAGGTTAAACATTTTCACTCATACATATCATTCACATACGAATGAGCTATCATAAGAAAACAAATGATTATAGGCCAAAGTTCGAGTGCTTTTTTAATTGTCAAAACTGTTGCATTCAAACAGACAGACGAAGGCATAGGTGAAAGGATAGATAAATGCATGGACGGGCAGACAGACGGACATAAGCAAGGAAGCAAGGATGGACGAAGGAATGAACGGTAAGACGAACGAAAGGAAGAAAGGAAGGATGGATGGAAGAACGGAGATGAGGCTGTACAGACGGAAGGATAAGCGGCAAGAGGAATGTAAGGAAGGACGGAAGAATGAACGGTCGGACGAAAGAGCAAACGGTTAAATAGATGAAAGAATGAATAGGCAGACAAACGAATAGACGGCCTGACAAGAGTCGATTAGCTCAGCTCAGCTCTATTTTATTATATACATTCATATAAAAATATATTATTTCCTGAGCCTCATTTGAATTTGAAGAACTATATATAAGACTTATACATTTGGAAAATCAATAATCGTTCACAAGCTTTAATTTTGTCAAGCAAAAAAACGCAATTGTACCACTGTCACTGTGTGCTGTCTGCGTGGGTGCCGCAAAGTCTGTCTGGGACTGTTTTGCTTTGGCTTTGCTTTGGTTTCCTCTGGCAGCGGCGCTAATTGTGAACTTTTCTATCAATTTTGTTGCGCCGGTGGCAAATGTCGCTGCACTTTGTTGCCATTGTAAATGTTGCATGTCAACAACAACAACAACAACGAGAGCAACCCATAGAGATCAATATCAATATCGGGCAGCAGTTGGGCCAATAAAATTGTATTAAGTGTAATTAGCTTTGCAAGTGAGTTATTTATGTAGCCGAATGGCCCCATTTGTTGTTTATGTAGTGCAGTGTAATGCACCGCAATTTGATTGATTGATTGACAGCGAATGGCCCCTGAAAACTGAAAGTTGTTTTGGCCCGTAATTGATATTGACTACTTTGAGGTTTACTTCGGACAGCTAAAGTATCAATTTACAATTTATGTTCACTTATGTGTTATTAGGGACTAAATAGTTCTGAACATTTTACAGTTCATTTAGGAACTTGAGTAGAATAGACAGTTGAACTAGTATGATATGGTAATTGTTTTGACAATTTTGGACTTAACTTTGTGACAAGCTGAAGAACTAGTTCCAAGATTAAACCCGCTCTGAATTCTAAGAAGTCCATAACACATTGAATAAACTCAACTTTAAACTCAACTATAATTACTTCACTCAAAATATTCCATTTCCTATTCGACCCGTTAAATTGACAT